TCACAATTTGAACAAATAACATTCTTTTCGAGTGCAAGCTTCGTGTGTTTACCCAAATAGAGATCTTCGAGAGTAACAGAGAGAGGATATTTCATACTTTCACCCTTTCTAGGACGACGAGGTCCACCATGAAAGTCTCCACCAAAGCCTCCTCCGAAACCAAAATCACCGCCTCCACCAAAGAGATTAGCAAAGAGTTCATCAGCAGACATACCAAATCCACCACCTGAGCCACCAGGTCCTTCTTCTCCATATTGATCGTACGCAGCACGAGCTTGTGGATCAGACAAGATTTCATAGGCATGCGAGATTTCTTTAAACTATATACATATGTGTCAAAAAAATGGAAAGAGAGAGAGAGATGTATTTACTCTTTCGCCTTCTTCAGGGTTTTTATCAGGGTGATACTTCATTGCCTATTGTTTATCAAATCATTAGCCTTATTTCTATTTTATTATTAAAGGGTTCGCACCAGTTTTCTATAAGCCTAATGAAGTGTCAACCAGAGATTGAAGGCAAGGGTCATTTATATATTTTTACTTTTTTGATTTCATGCTCTGTAGCATCTGTTTCTACTTCTAGAATCTCATAATATCTTGTTTCTGCGACCATAATATGTGTCTATTATTAAAGAGAGAGAAAGAAAGACAGAAAAAAAGAAAAGGGAAACAAAGGCTACTAATAGTTTTTTTATTGGACAACAAAAATTTTAAGCTAGTTTAAAACAGCCTCCTTCTGCTTTTTGTGGTCACTACTGACAAACATTTGATTGAGTCTTGCCAGTTCTGATTGAATGTTATTATTATTGTTATCTATCACAGGATTGACTTCCTTGTTCTCCTTTGCTTCAACTACTGGCTCTTCTTTTTCTATTAACTGAGCCAATTCTGCTTCTATTTCTTGATCATTATAAGGTATTGTATCATTCATTCCAGACTGCATTGCCTCTTCTATCTCATTTTGATCCTGAAGTGAATTGGATACTTTCTCCATTACATCATTAATAGTCTCGATACTCAATCCATCTTGTCCCAACAGATCTCGTAGTGTATCTGCGCCCACGTTAAATGCCTGTACGACTTGAAGGTCATCATGCGATGTCTCGATCTTCATGAGGATATTATCCATAGTCTCCATTGATTTGATTCGCTTCTCTAATACCTGTTGAAACCCTTTTCGTTTCCTTATGTAATAGAGCGATTTGGCTTTATGTCCTTTCTTGTGCTCTTCTACAGATAAACGCTCAAACTCTTCAATCTTCTTTTGCAATTCATCTATTTGAATTGATAATGCATGGCATGTTGTCTGTATGCTAATCATTGCTTCATCATGCTTTGTTATATCTGCTATTTCTCCTTGTCGAGAAGGAAATTTAATCACCTGTGTGTTGTTTATCATTGATATAAAAATTATATATACACAAATGTATGTTATATTTACCTGATAGGTTGTTCCGTATCCTTTAACATTTTCTTCTACTGCAATACCATAGTGAATATGAAGGTATCTTAAGACGAGCATGATATCATCCTCTGTCAAATCGATCTCATTCACAAAATGATGAGCATATTTATGTTTAAATGCTGATAGAGTGAAAAGATGATCCGTAGTTCGTTTAGTAGGTATCTCAAAGTGTTCTGATATAATGTGTTTTGCAATCAGTTCAATAGTTGGCATAATCACATAAAAGTGGTCTTCGCTACTAGAATGCCAGTATCGAGAAGGGGATAATCTGTGATAGAACCACTCGGCCCAAGTCGCTTTGAAAGTATATGTCTGAATAAACTTGTCTATGGTCATCAAATCACCTTTTTTTTCCATATGTTCCTAAGTACTATCAATACTCTCAATCCTTTTTTTTTTTCTTATTCTTATTCTTGTGTTTCTCCCTTACAAGTACACAGTCCAAAGCAAGTGGTTTTCCTTTGAGTGGCCTTCGAAAGTCTTCAGCTATTGTGTGTTTGTTGATAGCAGTAGCATATTTTGGTGTTCTTAGATATCCTTGTTGATTGCAATCCAAAACGATCGCTCTCCAAAACTCAACATTAGCCTCATAAGCATAAGGGTTGACCGTGTGAGACTTGGAAAAGTCTGAATAAAGAGAATTTAGACGCATGGAAGTTTGGTCCTCAGCAAATTCAACATAATTAGAGGCTAAATATGATTTCAGCTTTGAATGTTTCTTTGTCGCCATCGACTCTATTTGTCTTTTTTTTAAAAAAGAAAGAGATAGGCTGGACTTGAAGTTGCCCCCCTTCTTAAGTGTGGATCACAAAGCGCTATTGGATAATTTAACTGTACGCATCTATGTCTTAGCTATGGTGTCATCAGACTCTTTATTACACGGTTAGATCATAAAAAGCAAGTTGACATCTATTGGATGAGAAGAAGAGAGCTGAGGTCGTTGAGAATATTTTTCTCGTAAGATGACACGAACAGAGTTGAGCAATTGAAGATAGGTTTGATTTCTATTTGCTCTTAGGGCAGTCGTAAAGGCATGGCTCATTGCACCTGTACTGCGACCATTTTCAAAAGCATCTGCAGAGGTTTGAGAGTCCTTACAGCCAGAGAACATGATAACATCAGCAGGGGACGATTTCTGTTTTTTAACACTGGCTGCTTTTCCTCCAAGACCACCACTCATGATTTTGGAACCGATTGACATGACTGAAGACATGGCTCTTGCTGGATTACCTGATATATAAGCCAACCCTGCACTCTTTAAGCTATTGCCTGCATCCTTGAATAAGCTGCTTTCCTTTAGAGTTCCTTGTGTCGAATAGATATAAGGCAAATCGAGCGCTGTGCCCGAATGACAACTGTCAAAGATGCAAGTCAATCTACAACCCGGTGGAAGTGGACGAACCATGATATCGTGCATCATCTAACAATATATCCATGTTTATATTTTTATAACATATCTTTCATTACATGACTTACATCGTCTACAATTTGTCCATAGATGGCATGGTCTACTGGATAGATTGTCTCATCATACCCATCATCTTCATCTCCGTCATAGTCTTTCATCTAATAACAAAAAAAGTCAATTTTAAGTATAAATGATAATATAAACTTACTCTGCCACCATGTCCACTGAAATGGAAAAAGAATCTATAAAAAGGAGGAGGTTAGCCCAAGCATATACCTTTTGGTTTTATACATTACGAATCGTTAGGTCGAGCATCATGCACTAACCATTGCATAGCTCTGATCATATTCTGCTTTGTTGGAATATTCTGAGGGTTTTGTTGATCATCTGTTAAAATAACCATATCTTCCAATCGAAAATTATACAGTGTAATAAGGAAATCCTTGATGTTATGAACGTCGTTAATGCAGCCTACATAAAAAACCAATCTGTATTAGCTCGCCTTTTATCTTCTTTAATGTATTGAACCTTTTAATTCTGCCGAAGTGCCAAAATAGTTAATGCCGATCAATAAGGCTCTCTTTCTTCCTTGACCTATTTAAAAAATAAATAATGAGAAGACATAAGGAAACTAGCACACATACAGTTAGAAAGTTGAAAGTTAGGTGGCGGTGCCTGTTGAAGACTGGGATGAACATGCATAATAAAGTCATTGGGATTGACATTGGGTGGTGTTTGACCATAAGGCACTATATCAAGAGTAGTTATTATTATATTCTTGGGCCTTATAAATCAAAAGACTACCTGAAGGATTATGTGCTGAATGAGGTGGCTGTGGATAATTGGCCTGTCCTACTGTAGGATCATGAGGTGAGAACGCAGGATCTTGAGGTGAGTAAGGAGGGGGAGGATTCTTTTATGATTGATTAGCGCATCACATGTTTATATACCAATAAAGCTTACATTAGAAGCTGGGCTTTGAGACGAATAGTTATGAGGACGAGATGGCGTAGGAGGTGGTGGTGTTGCATAAGGATTCTGTTGAGGTGGTGGAGGGTAAGAACTTTGTTGTGGTGCAGGATATGGGCTCTGCTGCGGCGGTGGAGGGTATGGACTCTGCTGTGGTGGAGGAGGATATGGATTCTGTTGTGGTGGATATCCGCCTGCGGAAGGATAGGGCTGTGGAGGTGGATAACCTTGTACGGGAGGAGGATAAGGTGAATATTGTTGTGGTGGAGGAGGAGGATATGGTTGTTGCTGTTGTTGATAAGGAGGATATGGCACATATCCGCCTGCTGTATACCCTTGACCTGGGAAACTCATAATGGAATGAATAGAAAATAAAGAAACACTTTTGCCTCTCTCTCTTTTTTAAGCTGAGTCACGTAACACCAAAGTATTTTTAGCAGTTCAGGAGGGCAGTTGTTAATTTGAAGCTATTCATATCAACAAGTTAACTTTAGTAAAAGAAGACACAGATTCAGGCAAATATTGAAACAAGATACTTGTATATATGTGTGTATATACACACGATTCGTTTTTCCCTACCAAAAACCCATTCTACCCTTATTTCAGCACAACCAAGAAGGAGTCACAGTGAAGGACAAGAAAAAAAAAAAAAGGCAAAATGACAAAACGAGAAAAATTGGTTAGTTTATTTTCTTCTCCTCAAGACATAAAATGAATCAAGCATCAAGAGGATCGCGTGTTGTATTCGGTAAAGTTTAGAAATCGCTGTTTGCTTTAAGTATTAATGTTTGCTAGTTGGAAATATTCCTTTTGAGCTTTCGGAAGAACAACTTATTGAGGTCTTTAAAGAAGTGGGCCCAGTCGCTTCTTTTCGGTAATGTATATTATATAAAAAAGATTATAAAAAGACTCATAGAATATTTTATAGCTTACTGTTTGATCGTGAGACTGGTAGGCCAAAGGGCTATGGCTTTTGTGAATTTTATGGTAAAAGAGTAAGGTTATTTGCAAATTGTTGTTAATCCTTGCATAATTATAGATGCTGAAACAGCAGCAAGTGCTGTACGAAATTTAAATGATTATGAAATCGGAGGACGTCAATTGAGAGTTGATTATGCAGCAATGGATGATAATCATCAAAGATCGGGTCATCAAGGTAGACATCACCATCCTCCCGTTCAACAAGCACCACCTCCATCCATGCCTCCACCACAACCTATGTCAATGCAACCACCTATGCAGTCCATGCCGATGCAACCACCCATGCAACCACCCATGCAGCCTCCAATGCAACCTCCAATGCAACCACCCATGCAATCTTCAATGCAGCCTCCAATGCAACCTCCAATGCAAACCCCAATGCAGCCCTCAATGCAACTTCCAGTGAATAAGTCTGTAGTAGGCAATGCATCTGTAGATGAAATCTCAAAAGTTTTAGCTTCGATGAATGCTCAAGATTTATTCACGTTGATGAGCCAAATGAAGCAAATGTCCTTTGAAAGGCCTGAATTTACCCGAGAATTTTTAGCAGCAAATCCACAAGTGGCATACGCACTATTTCAAGCTATGCTAATGATGAATATAGTAGACCCTAATATTATTACAGTAAGAAAGAGAATCGTTAGGCCGTATGCATATTCTAATACTTTATTGAAAGCGCATCATGACAGCTAATCCTGCAGCAGCACCCGTCGCACCTCCAGTTCAACCGATTATTCAGCAACCTCAACCGGTTCAACCAACTAGACCAGCAGTGATAAATAGCCCGGTTCAGCCTGTGCCTGCAGCAATCCGTGCACCTCCACCACCTCCTGTTGTTGCTCAACCAGAAGTACCACAAGGTAAATAAATACATATTGATAATAATAACAATATATCGATTTGGAATTGTTGTAGATGAAACAGAACAGCAAAAGGCACTCTTGATGAAGGTATTACAACTTACAGATGAGCAAATAAATGAACTCCCACCACAGACAAGGGATCAAATTAGACAATTGGTAAATAAAAGAGAAAACTATGAATACATATTTACTGAATCTCTTTTTGTTTTCATATACAATAGAAGGCTCAATTGACTATGCAACAGCAATAAACATTATGCTCTTCCATATTTAACATGTCCCTTATTAGCTCTCTTTTCTAACTTTGCTTGACGTTTTGATTTTGCTTCTGCTGCTGGCTCACTTTCATTGGTTGGTCTGTTTCCAAAATAAGACTTGGCCATTGGGATAATCTTGTAAGCGGCATAAGCAGGAATCTATAATGAAGCATATGTAAATCATATAATCCATCCTACAGAAAGGAGATTTTATGTTATGTTCAATTTACCACTAAATACGTGAACCAAAACTTGTTGGAGATGAATGCAGTTGTCATGTGCACAAACCATGTCACATAGATAATGTCAAACATGTAACTAGAGCAAAAAAAAAAAAAAAGACTAGTGTTAGTATATATGTGTAAATATGCTACAGATATTATCTGTCTATATCATATCTCTTATTCTTACGCTGTAAGTCCTTCAGCATTCAGATCGTCACCACTACTGATCAATGTGCCATCATTTCTATAAGTTGGTGTTCCAGATGCGACAAGGATACGATAAAATATAACAGTCAATCCAGTTGTGAGTATGTAAAGTAAGAATTGTGAAAAAGTAAATGAGCTCCAGTGGTAAATGACGCGCCATAAGAAATAAATAGCCTAAGAACACATTCGAGTTAGTTGTTGCATAGATGAAAAGTGTTGGTGATTATACATTAACAATTATAAAGCCTTTGCGAAGGTTCGTCAAGGCTTGTTTATTGGAAATAGCAATCTTTTTGGATGAAGCGTTGGCCTAACATAATGTTAAATACAGACTCTTCTCTCTCTCTTTTACTATTTTGTTACCATTTTCTTAGAGAAAAAAAGACTAATACAGTGATTTGTGTTTAAATTCAAAAATTTTAAGTGAGCACGTCATGCGGACGCGGGAAAGTGAAACAATAAAAAACTATGTGAACGCTACGCGTACAAGAAGGCTAACGCTACGGGTGCTTCCTTGGAGTGCTACCTATGTTGTCACTATACAACTTCACGTTAATAAAGCCTTCCTACATAACCTAAGGCTGTCTAGTTCACTCTCTCTGATATAAAATACGAATTCATCATAATTACAAGTGAGCTCAATGGCCATTGTTGATCAAACTGACAGCATAAAATTAGAATAAAGAAATAAATTTCTTTTTTTCCTTTCTTCTTGAAAAGAAACAAAAATCAAGATGACAACTCTATAAAGTCAAATTTAGCTTGACGCTACACATTGAAAAGCTTTGTTAAACGATATCATAGATAATAACTTCTTCTCGTGGATTTCATCATGCGCGTAGTGCTTATCATGACATGACAACAGATTCAACAGGAACAATCATTTCTTCTACAGATTCAAACAGAGAAAAGCTGCTGGTCAGCTTAATGAAGGAAGAAATAAAGATCCATTACTAAAGTGTGATGTTTGCAACCAAACGTTTGAAAACAAGAATACACGCTTTGTGCACAAATGCCGCCACCGTGTGCTACAGGCAAATGTTACTCTTGGCGAATGTAAGAAAACTGAAAGGTTATCAAGGCAATATTCATTCATTTGTTTGTCTTTTGTTGTTATAGATATTACATCTTTACCTTTTCAGTTCAATCGGTTCCAATGTCCTTTGACAATGTGTCAAAACGTAACTTTCGCGAATATCGATATCTTTTCGAGGCATATGTCCGCTAAACACAATTTCGATACAAGCGTGGTGTATACACAACTGAAGCCAGCAGTTCATGTAACCAATTGGAAAAGGAGTGTCCGAACTTCGATTTCCAATAAAGATGTCATTTAGCTTTGCAGTGTAACAGTATATAGACATCGTATCATCAAATCATGACAATTAAATGCTCACCTGTTGTTTTGCACTTGACACATGAAGATTTACATGCAATCCACAGCATCCATTTCCTTATGTACAGCGATTTGCTGTCCGATTTGATTAGCAATATCCCTTTTCAAGGTGAGAATTTCTCCCATGAAATGAAAAGTGTCTTATAAATTCACTCCGAACACAAGGACCCTGACCATGACGCCTGCAAAGGACAGACGAAGCCGGCCTATATTGAAAAAATTATATCATGGTCTCGCCTTCCGAGGTTGAATGACGCCTTTGAGTTTCTGCCACCAATAGAAGAACTCATAGAAGCATTGAACATGGATTTAGAATATGGCCGTCACTTTTGCACGCGGTGTAAGTTCTCGATACAGGCTGTCTTGTTGTGATGGACCACAATATTCTTTTCACATCAACATCCGAAGCGTATTCAAGGTCAAAGACATTAGGTGTGCATGGTGAGAGCAATCTAAAGTCAATACCAGTGAAAAGTTTGTCAGCTGGTGTGTCCATGGAGAAGCTGATGGTGGCCTCATGAAACGGAAACTCGGTCAATAAGCCAGAGGATAAACCAACAAGGAAGGATATATGCTGTGATATTCGTTTTATTTAAATTTAAAACCAACAAAACAAATACTGTAACAATAGTTTTATTTGACCTTGATGAGTGAAGCCTTGATAAGAAGCGGTTGAGCAGATGATAGCCTTCCTTGTTGGTTTATCCTCTGGTCTTTAGATCAATTATATGTTATTCATATCGGATGCGATAGAGGAATGTAAACTGTATGCTCTACTGTAAGATTATAATGCTTTATAATGATTCACATCAAACGCGTCACCAGTAACATTGCCCTTGTTGCATTTACACACCAGATACGTCGTATACATAACATACACCAGTTTAGAGACTCGCTTATATAAATGGCCTAGAAGCCTCATTTATATTACTGAAAGGGCAACACTTTGACATTAAATGAAATTAATACAAAAGTGTAGAAAAGTAAAGCCCCTACGCATCAGCAACCATAAGTCAATAGAACATTTACAAGGCATACCATCTTGATTTAATATGGCTTCTATCACTTGAGTTTGGAAAAACGCGAAAAATTACCTATAGATTTGAACATGTTACAAAATGACAGAAGGTCTAAATAATAACTCTAATTTATAGCTTTGGAAAATAATTATGATCTATAGGAAATAATGGAAATTTTATACGAGTTGTTATATGATCTACTTATTTGTGGGTAGGCTTCAAAAGTCTTCTCACTGTGTCTACATAGTGTTTTATGGACCTTGTATGGATAAAAGACACCGTACCAGATGAGGGGCTGGCAGTAGACAGTAAGCTAGCAAGGCTAGAGAAAAGCTCTTGAGGTGCGCGTCCATTATCATTACAATAGACAGCTGTACATTTTTATTAATACAAGTTCCGTATGACTATGTCGCAAATCAAGCACTTGCTTTTATAGCTATTAACGAGTAAACAGAAGAGTAAAATAATCGCAAGCATTATATTGGTTCTATAAATCATCTTTAAACAAGCTATTGCTGAAGAGAAAAGAAAGAAGATTGTTCAAAAAATTTGAGTGACTTATAGGAAACTCGCTTGCATTCTTGTTTGAGTAGAGAGCTTTAAAGAAATCTTCCAAATTCAAATCTGTTCGTATATGAATTAAAATTCATTCACTATTAATTGCTGCTGTAAACTATGAATACTTTCACTTGTTGGTGTTTAATTGAAAAGTGAAGGGGAGACGGTGTTGCGTTAATTCATATATTAAGGTAGTCGTTTCATTGGATAATTTCCTCCACATTAGGCTCAACGTGTTTATAACACACACAGCACGCAGTTAGATGCCGATTACTGACAGCTTTAAGGAAACTTCAAGCAGATATTGATGATCTGAGATATGCTCTCTGACAGCTCTTAAAAGTGAAATACACTGGGACATTTCTCTGCGAAAACTTTTCTCCAGAATGCTCTGTATCATTGATATATTTACTGTAGCCTGTTCCTTAAAGCACACTTAATAAGAAAGGATTACCTGTGAACGGCCTCAAGCTTACAGTTCGGTGGGTTGATTCAGCGCCTTTGAGCTTATTAAAGCTAAAAGCCTTGTGCGTTCTATCACAAAACTGATCAGCCATACAGGCAAATTTATAGACTGCCCTGTCATATTTTGATGCACATAATTTTGAATGAGCTTCCTTTTTTAACTATAGTAAGTTTCTACTATATTCAATTTGAGCTTTTCATTAGCCTGGGTCTGTTTTCAAATAAAGTCAATAGACTGACTCGGTTCTGCTTTGCAATAATGAAGAAAAAATAAGCGCCATAGTGATTAATGGCTTTGGATAGTGATAAGCAACACGGTGCTCTCTAAGGTGTAATGAACCTTTTTTATTTTATTTCCATATAAGACTACTTATCCTTTTGATATTCATGCATTCATAACATTTTTCACTGTTATAAATCCTTGATTATATCTCTCATTCAAGTCATGCGAGTATCAATGATAATATAAAGTATATCGCGTACCTTAGCAACGCATCCTGTTTCGAGCGCCATTTGAAATAGTTTATGCAGATTTAGAAGATCCATTGCTTTACTATAAAAATGAACGTACAATCATTAAATCCATCACAGTTATAATCGTCGCTAATGTTAGTCTACATTTCACAAGCAGAAGGAAAAAGAATAAGGATATAACAACAGTGCCAACCTTTACTGACCAATAAAACAAGTGTATCAATGATTTAAAATTTTAAAAATTATGTTCAAGGATGTTCAAGTAGATTATTTTATTTTTTTTTAAAAAAAAAAAAAAAAAGGAAGAGGAGAGACTACTAGTGTTCAGTACATGACAACTTCTGAAGGTACAATAAAGTCAGCAAGAGAGGAACAGGAATAAGGTGACCTTAACCATATTACAAGTCTCTCTGTGTTGCCCTTAAAGTGTGTCTCTTGGGTGGCCAAGCACATCCCAAAAGCTTACCTAGTGAGTAACATCAACCATAGAAATTTGAAGAATGCAAATAAGTCCAAAAGACCATAGGCAGAGCCAAGACTAGAACCATGAGTAGAACCAAGATGAGAACCTACAAAAGCCCCCGACCCTGCCATACCTGTGTTAGGAAGGAAGATAAAAAGACCATAGATTATTCCGAGCACTTCCCTGAGAGTTATTGAGAGAGAACCATATAGAAAGCTTGCTTGATATATTTGAAGATAAAAGAAAGAATAATTTGAATAAAGAAGGGAAAGTTGCGTCCTTTTATACCTTTTAAAGCTTCCCCATGGGAATATATTTTTGCTCATGCCAAACAAAGAAGCAATCAAAGTTCCTTTATCTCTTTCTCTCCCTATCTTTAACCCAAAATGGACTAGGCATATTTTTTAAGAAATTCACATACAAACATCTGCTCTCCTTTGAAGGTTGTCTAACCCTCCTTTTTTTTGAGAGAGAAAGAGAGAGAGAAACAATTTTGACCTAAAAGGTATCTCTTGTCTTCATTCTTATGATTTACATTGCTTCATTTATTGCCTTGGTTGTGCCCTGAATTCAAACTATGGCGTGTTTATTAAACTATTTACTCTCTTTCGTGTTTTATTGATAGTCCATCCTGAAACATAATCCATTACAAAAAAGGAAGGCCTGGATCAATCCCCTTTGGCGCTCAACCTAAGCATACATCACATCATGTCCTTAATCAGATTTTTGTTTGTTTACATATCAAAGCCAAGAGGAAAGTCTGAAAGTTCCATAAAAATAATTCCAAAATAGGAAGAAGGAGATAAACATATAATTCATATAGCTTATATGAATGCCTTTGTAGTTATTCTACATAATGGGTATGAAGTAATAACAGCTATAAAGGAATAGAGGATATGCTGGGCCTTGTTTTTGTGTGTGTAGATGTCTTCAGGTTACAACAACTTTATGCAGATTTCGACACAAATTTTTATTGAAACTCCCCGCCAAAATATCCTACAACATTTATTCTTGCATACAAAGATCAATTCTTTCTTGCCACAGACCTCTTTCTTTTCTTTGTTCATAAATGACTACAGAAAGCCTCATTCCATCTTGCGGTATTCTTATATTTTCAAGGTAAAACTATTTATTCATCGACAATATCACAAACATCATTCTCGTTTAAATCAAGCTACCATGAAATGTTATGCTTTTCTTCAATTTTACTCCTTGAAAAATAACAGTACCAATAGCAATCTTCTTCATGCATTTGGTCACAGTAATTTGCAAAAGATAATTACACATATTAAAGTCCACAACCTCACCATCAACGGTACTGTATTTCCATTTGAAAGAATGATACCGGCACTTCCAACAGTACAACAAATGATTAAAAAGTCGGCTACAAGAGAAGAAGGACGTTTGCAATTGATAAATATTGGTACGAAGCTTCAAGGTACTCAAAAGGTGACTGTGAAGTTCATAAAGGACATGTTGGAATCTTTTCCTCTTAATGACTTGGGTGAAATTATTAAGGAGGATGATAAAAAGTATATTCATTTTACCAATATTGCAGTCATTATTTGATAATTTGGATCATGAAAACATGGTATTTTTTAAGATCACAAATGAAAACAACGCCGAATGTAAACAGAAGGTCTTTGGTGTTTCTCATCGAAGACCAGATGGTCAATTCCGTCAAAAAACTGAACGTGATAATTTTATCACAATTGGCTACATGGAAGCCAAGGCTGAGCTAGAAAGCAAGAACCATGAGGCCTGCATGCAAGACCTAGTTCGCCTTGCAATCTTTGGCAAAAATGCCATAGATATTTACAACTTGAAAAACACGCTATTGCTTCAAGCAATTGGATCAAGCTTTACGTTCTATTTATTGTAAAAGGAAAATAGGGACATGTATGCCATGGTGAAGTGACAGCTTCAATTTCCTAATGAATATAAATCATTACACTTGAAGCGACCTTGGTTGTCGTAGTCATTCTTTTCTTTGTTAGTTCAAATTGTACAGCGTAAAATAAAATACAGTGATATAATAAGCGTCATTTTTGGATCTTTATCTTCTTGAGTGAGAATGTAACAAACAAAGAGACAAGCCGAGAAGAAAACAGAGGGAGAGGAGGGCGGAAACAACCAAGATCACTTCAAGTGTAATTATAATTATACTTTATAAATTTGTACACTATCAAAATAAGAATCTCTACTTATTCAAAGCTCTCTCTCTCTCTCTCTCTCTCTCTCTCTATCTCTCTCTCTCTTTGGAAATCAAGCTATTGCTTACTTAAATAAAAACTTCATTTTGTTACTCCCAAACTTAGTTTTTTGTTCTTTAATCTTAGTAATATGGCTGTTATCATACTCATTTCAGTGTACTTTTCTTTGTCTCTGGTAATCCAAGGAAACAACAGCTTAATGATTTCTTCATATACATCATTATGAAGCAGTTTGAGTAGTTTAAAGGCTATAGATTATTAATGGTGTAGGTTTTTCCTTATTAGTGATATGCCGTATATTAATATTTGTCTGTGCAATGAGCTAATCTTTGACTGCAAAGTCCTTTTGCGATCTGGAGATTCCCAGCTGGAACTGTAACTCGGCAACCTGGCATTGTAAGACTTGTACCATACAACTGAGGCTTGCTAGTGGAGGGCCCTTTTTTTTTAAAAAAAAAAAAAGAAGAGAGAGAAAGACAATTCGGAACCTGAATAAATATTAAAGTCATTGAATTTTCCTGATCTTGTTTCTCCTCTCATCTTTAAGCATCAATAACAATGTTTGAGAAATTAGCTGGCTTTGCTATAAAAGCCAAAGATAATGCTCTGTCAAAGGTGATCTTATCCAAGGATAAAAGGCTTGAACAATCAATATCAGAAAATATTCGTGTTAAAGATATCTTATTGAAAAAGGTACTTAGAAAAAGAGAGAGCGAAACAAGAGTATTGTTAATAAGAAAAGGGGAGTAGGTATCAACGTATGGATTACCTTCTACTGTTAGTGTCATTGCTTATGACTGTATTGCTGGACTACTCGCTGTTGGTAAAATAAACAGCATAGGATATAGTATATTCTTATGAGTATTGTAGCAGGAGAATTAAACAAGAATTATATCAAAGTGTTTGGTAGAGGCATATCAGCATCCATCGACTTACCAAGCACAGCTGGAGTCAAGTATCTACAGTTTAAAATTGGATCACCTTTACTCGTAGTGATCGATAAAGCAAATACTATCTTCACAGTTGATCTCCGAACAAAGAAAGTCTGCCACGTAGTGTCAGCAGAGGCCATCATCACGAGTTTAGCTTACTGTGTGGGGACAGATTGGCTATTTATTGGATATTCCAATGGCTTTATCGACGTGTTTGATATACAACAAGGAGTGATCACAGAGTACCAAATACCTGATCTATTACCAGAGGAAGAAAAACAGCAAAGTCATGTTATTGTTGACCTACAGCTCCACCCGACTGATTTGAACCTGTTGCTGATAGGATACGAATCTATTGTACATATATGGGATATTCGGGATCGATCCATTAGAAAGTCCTATACTCTCAGAAAACTGGATGTAGACTACAAAAACGGAAACTTAACATGCCTGGCCTGGAGTCCGAATGGCACACGGTTCATTGGAGGATATGATGACGGGTACATGCATCTGTGGGATATCAATAGTGATAAAAGACCCATTGCCTCACGTAGACTCTTTCAGCATTATACAGCATCATCAGAGGTGGAGCCAATTTATCAAATTGCATGGTACACAGATAAGGTGGAGAAGAAATCGTTCGTCATTGCTGCAGGAGGAGCTCATCCGGCAGATACATTAGGCTTAAATTTATTAGAGTTTGACTACGATGGCGAGTCAAAGGAGCCCAAGAAGCAGACGATCATGCCTCTTACCTCTGACCTGTCTCATTTTCTCATCCTTAGTACCAACCCATATTACGGAGGTATGCAGAGCCCTTTTGGAATTGCCATTGTTGGATCAGATCACTCGTTCAAGGTTTACGGGCTTGATCATGGATTTCCCCAACTCAAGCTTCCTCCTGCACTTGAGTTTGTTGATCCCTGTATCTTGACTGCCTGCTATTTACCCCAGCTCCCAGATTCAGCCTACACATTACTATCGTCAATGGCCAGCGGTGACAGAAGAGCACGCTATGTCCCTATCACAGGTGGTATAGCAGGACCAGAACATGTCTATCACATACAGTCAAATGATCTTCTTTTAACTATTCATCAAGGCGAGCTCATCAAATTCTGGGATGCTTCCTATACCGCCCTTCGACCTCTGCCTCATCTCACAATCGAATGCACAAGGGATCTTGGAACACGTGAAGCAATCATTTGCTGTCTTGATGTCAACAAGACCACTGGAACACTGGCTGTTGGATTTAGCAATGGATCCATCATTATTTATAAGTATGTTGCTGAGAGACAGAAAGAGGAGATAACGGCAACATCAACAGAGCACTTATCAAGACAAGAAGAGCTTATCAATCAATGTGATACCACGTTGAAAGAGATTTCTGATTTATTAGAAGATTTGGGTTCGGTCGATGAGAACGATCTGCGTGTGGATGATAGTCATAACCCATTCGTTTTAAACGAACAGCAGACGAACGATCAGCACCCGGTTGATAATACTAATAATCCCTTTGTAGAACCTGCACCGCCTCCACCAGACACGACTCAAAAGGAGCCAATAAAAGATGAACAAGCAGCTCAACCAAATATCTTTCAAAAGATAGACGTGCCTGATAATGTATGTGGATATCATGCTGCATTACATATCAGATTAGATGTTGCAGTAAGAAGTGTGGTTAGTATTGGTGATTCGCTGTAAGTTTGTAATTTGACAAGTTTTTATATCACACTAATGTCATATTTCAGTATTGCTGCTGCTTTGGATAATGGAAGTGTAGTCTTTTTGGATATTCATAGACACGCTGTCTTATTTTCTGAAAATATTGTGCGTAAGTGCATTATGTCTTGTAATAGAGAAAACCTTATTGAAATGTAAAACTTTTAAATTTCAATTGTAGTTTGGGATGTTCAACAACAAAACTCGACCATAGAAAAGAATACTGCCACTGAATCATCTGAAGTACCTAATATAAACCAGTCCACGTTGACAGAAATTACATATCTTGGCTTCTTTAATACATATTCTTCATCCAAAGGTAACAAAACTATGTGCACGTATGCGTACTAAACTTTCAACCACAGTTACAAAGGCTGAACCACAGCTGTTTATTTGCCTTGGCAACGGACATATCTATCAGTTTAGTATGCTTTTACTGTTAAGTAGTGTATCGATAGATGACATTCGACAACATCTTTGCATAAAAGCATCACCACCCCTCTTAAACATGCATGTTATTGACCTGAAAGGAGCTTTACAAGTGACCATCTCTGATAAGATAATAGAAGAAGAGGACGTAGCCAACAGATCAGATATTATAACTAAAGAGCACAGTCCAGTCTCTCCTGAGATCTCTGACGACACAAGTTCGTCTCAAAAGGCCGCAAGCACTATCAGTACTGGCAGTAGTAGTCTATCTTTGTCAAACATAAGTTCGAAACGTATAGCGGCACTTGGGAAAGTAGAATATCGTCAACAAGATAATCCTCATTTTATCATATGTGTATCGGCTCATGTGGTCAATGTATACTTGTCTGGTTTCAATGTTAAATTGTATAGTAGAGAACTCAAAGAGTTTTCGATAGTACAGAGCGAAATTGTTCAAAACTATAGTAAGTGTATAAAAGAGAAAGAGGAGAGAGAGAGAGAACTCACGTTGAACATAGCGTCAAGTTCATGCTTATCTGTTATCTGTGATAATGGAAAATTACTTTGCTTTTCTCTACCAAAATTAGAATTTATTGCTGAACTAACTCTTCCAGAGAAAGCACTACCAAAAAAACTTATAGAGGCCAGTCTAAGTCAAGATGGTCGTGTGGTTTTTTGGACAGGGCAATACGAGATTGAACAATATCAGTTTATGGAGAACCCCAGCAGGTACGTATACGCTTACACATCTAATGCATAAATAATTAACAGAGAATTTTAGACATGTTGGAGAATCCGTTATGCTACATGACGCTCAAAAAGAACTTCCCCCGCATCCATCCACTGTGCTTAAAAGACAAAAATCTATTACAAAAAAATCATGGCTGAATGCAGTGGCAGGAGCTTTTCAAAAGGAACCGTTGACAATACGTGAATTAGACACTATAAGTAAGTAGTATACACATGCCAAGATGATACTAACTATAATTGGTGCAAAGTGGGCCGAGTACACAAGGAAGACGCGTATGAAGCAACCAAAAAGAAGATCGAGGCTTATAAAGCCAAGAATACAAACAAATCATCAAGCGGGCCAAGTGGTGTATTTGCAGAGTTGGGCGATAAAATGAATGAACGTGGTGAGAGATTGAACGAATTGAATCAAAAGTTTGAAGAGATGAATGCTGCCTCTGGAGACTTTTTGAAGGCTGTTAAGGAATATAACGAAAGACAGGCACGCAAGAAATGGTGGGAGTTTTAGTTTGTCTAATTTGCTATACCCTCCATAATTCCCCCTCTTAAGTTGTAAATAAACAAATATCAAGTGGAGCCTAAACACTATTCTTGGTGCACTTTTCAAAAGCAAAGCAGGATCCTTTATTGTAAAACTTCATCTTACCCCATAAGAGATAAGTCAGATGGTTTAATCATACCAGGTATACGCAGAGCGTTTTCTCTTTCCTCTCTTCTCTTTCTTTCCATCTCTGCTTCTTTTTCTTCTAAATAAAGCTCCGTATTCTCTCCAGCAAATTCTTTCAGTTGAATGAGAAAATCGCGCACTTCTAGTTTAAATTTTGGAAGAGTATTATTGTATTCGAGCATAGCATCAATGAAGACAGTGATCTGTCCCCTATATATTGAAGCAGTTTAATTAGGCGTCTTTAGTAACCTCTCATCGACTGATACCTTTTAAGATGCGGGAATGCATTCTGTAAGAGTGTTGATACATAGTCTTTTAAAAATTTTACATTGTCCATGTTTTCATCTGTCACTTCTGAAGGATTGTATAATGGCATGGTTATTGAATTAGTTGTCACCAGGCTAAACAATAGAGCCAGCATCTCAGTTTGCCCTTTGAAGCCTATTTAAAACCTATATTAGATTTAATATATGATTGCACATTTGACCGTATACCACTCTTGTGATCTCCGTCTGTTAAAACAAAGAATATATCCTGCAGGATACTCAAGTAATAAGACTGGTAGAACGCGTCTGCAATGGTGGAATCAGTTGCGTTGATATTTTGTATCAGTTCTTCACATATGCCCAAGCTGAGGTCCGCAATATGACGCAACGTATGCTTGAATCCCCAGACAATACTGTCAATAATCAATTTGAATCGATCAGGTGACAGTTCAAGAAGAGCTATAATATGGATAAGTATATACACGGTGGGCCCTGAGGGGAGGGGGCTCTTGAAAAAGGCTATTATGGAATACCTGGAAAGCAGTGTCGATTGATCGATCGTAGTAAATGATAAAACCCTTCTCTATGCTCTGGGTATTCAGTAAAGTCTTTTGTAATCATGTTTAATGTAGGTTCAAATGTGGATTCAAGCACCAGAGGAATATGCGGTATCATCAATGTCTAATACAAATCAGTCAGAATAACCACATTTAAACACGTTGTATAATAGACTAGTACATCGAGCTTATCCACCAAGTTTGCAAGCACTTCAAGTACATAAGCTTCTTTAATAATATCTGGACTACTGTTGTAGCTTGTGAGAACAACTTCAAAAAATGGAGTGATCATATTTTGTTGAATAGAGTCAAGTTCAGTCGCACAACCCACAAAGGTGTTTATAAGCTGTAAAATATCCTTTCTCACTGATCGCAATCCACGAACATTGGGTGTCTTGACTGCAATATTTCCTATTAGTTAATGAGTAACAATACTTTATCATTTGATCAAGATTCCACACCTTGCTCAGCAAGCAATTGAATTATTATCATTTCGGCAGTGTGATATAGTTCCAACATATCTGAGTATATGACGCCTAATTGACTAATATAACCATGTCCAATGGAAGAGCAGGCAGCAATGTTTACTTTCAATATGTTGGTCAAAACTTTGACTTGCTGTGGCTGTTTCAAAATTGTTGAACTGTTTTTCACAGAGAGAATAGCATTCTGCCACTATATATCCTGTATATCAGCGATAGAGGCTATTATTATTCTTTTTATGTATACACTTACAAGCATATTAGGTATACTCATAAACTTGGTAATCAACTTTTCTTGGATAATTTTGTTGGACTGCGCTGAGATCATGTAGCCTACTGCCTCATAAAATGTTTGAACCTAACATTGTTCTATATTGAGATAGTCAATTTCAAAGAGACATTTCTTCCTTTACCTGTTGTGGTGTGAGGCGACAAGTGATATCTTCCATATTATGTATTATTTCATCGATAAACGGAGAGACTTCGCCTGTTTGTTGAATAATAAAATGTCGACTGCACTCTTGTGAAATCTTGATAAACGTATCGCATGCCATATCTTGTACGCCTTCATGAGGTTCATGCATAAATTCAAACAGCTTATGAATGACTATTTTCAAGAACTGCCAGTGGGATTTCAAGAATCTTGGGTACTGTCCTACGCAATACATGACATTCGAAGCAACAACTGCCTTATTTGCCTTTCCTCGTTTCTGTTCACAGAGACTCAATAGATCTTTGATCACTGTCACCAAAAAATGCTTTTCAGTATCAACATTCATTGCCCCTGAGATAGATCCAATGGCCCAACAGAGCTTATTCAAGTTTTGCCAAGACCATTCGCTGCCATCCATTTGCCGCTGCAGCTTTTTTGTCATGATCATTTCCGTATCGGCAACGTCCAAGTTAGTAAGATAGACTAAGACTTCTTTTATGTTTTTATACAATATAATTGTGTCGCTCTCCTTTATAAACTCGCGGACGATTTCTCCTTCGTCATTCTCTACGATCAACACTTCTTCTGGCTTTACCATCTTTTCAATCATGACTACACGAAGGCTGGAAAGAATATCGGCGTAAATGCTTTTCCTTGGCCAGGGTCGCTCTTCAGTTGGATGAATAGAGTGGTTGTATAGCCTTAGATTCGCGGCTTCATCGTATAATGATCTCACTAGCTTGGTCCAATACTCTAAGCAGACCTTAAACACTTCACGATCTTCAATCCGTGATATGTTGATCAAGTGAACGTGAGCACTGTTCAGTAGATTATGACATTCTGACGTCCTCTCGACTATCTAAGTTAATTAGAAAACAAGTGGATTATTTATAGCCTTGACTATTCTCTGTATTGGTACCTCTACATGTGCTTCCAAGAAGCTAGTTAAAAACAAGGCTAGATTTTGAATGAATTGTTGATCGTCATTAGAACTGTTTTCGTATAGAGATGCAATATCTACGCAACTGTTAAAAGAGGTCTTTCACATCATTCATTGAATAATTACCTGTGTTGGAAGGTATTGCAGTATTGATTGATCCCATCACTTGTGTAAAGAGAGAAAGTAGCTTTTCATTATATTCATCCACACCTGATAAACTGCCTATTTCCATGAGACATTTCAAAGTAACATTACGATACTGTTGCATGTCCATAAACTAATAAATTCCCCCTCTCCTTCGGTTAGAATAAGGTAACCATTACCTAGACTATATTACCTTGGTCAAGAGTTGTATAAGGTTGGTTTCAAAGATATAGCCAATAGGAATCCAACTCAAGAACCTCAACAATGTCTCTAGAGTGGCCTTGATCAGACTTGCTTTTGATACACTATCTAGTATTTCTACGCATAAATGAAATATTTCAGAGAATTCATTGCATATCGACTGTCGAAGGTTGGATGTTTTCAAATGTATCATTTGCTCTGCAGAATAGTCAAATATTTCTTCACTAGTTTATTCTAAGTTCATCTGATCTGAGCATTGATAGTTTTATTTACCTTAATAGCTTCAAAATGTTCATGTTATTCTCGCATAAGGACATGTTTGTTTTGCTTGAAGCAACGATTTCCGGGATAAAAGATGGCCAGTGATAGGGCCAATCCTGCTTCAGTATCTAGGATGTAGGATTACTCATCTGCTTTCTAGTGTTTATTGCCCATTACCTGAACTAATACCATGTTCAATTTGTTAATAAAAGTGCGCTCGTTATAAAGTGTTGCCTCATCTGAGGATGATTTGATAACCATATCAACAATGAAACATCGGATAGCTGAGTATAAAGAATGCATATTCCCTTTAGCCTAATATCCTTCCTTTTTTCCTTCATGATATACCCTGTTTAGTCTCTATCGGTAACGTATTCCATCTTGTCGTGATAAATTTCTCCAAGATCTGCAGTGCGATGAACTGTAGTGTAGTGAATTTAGTCTTTGTTTTTGTTTATTATGCAGCAAATAAAAGAAATTACCTTTGTCTGAGGTACATTGGAATGCTCTAGAATCTTGTCAGCTCGAGTCCAAGCATCAACGTGATCTTGAAATTGCGTCAGTAATTGCTGTGCCATTTGTTGCTTGAAGTTTTCTTTATTAGAAAGATATTTTAAATATACAAAGAACTTACGTTTGAACCAGAGCCAGTGTAGAAGGTCAGTACGACCTGATCTAATAAAGCAATGTCGAGCTCTTTGTTGAAATCTAGAATACTTTCTGCCATTTGCATAGAATGAAATTGAAAAGAAGAAGTATGTAAAAAATAGGACCCTATTGGTGTCTCTTTATTTTTATATCCCTATTCAGTTACTGACAGTACGAATTCTATGCCATTGGGGAAGGACGAGATAATTTGGGCCAATCACCGAGATTGAAAAAAGTCATTCTCTGGGAACATCATATCGTTACCTAAAGGACTACAGGAGCTCTACACTTCAACGTTCATTATGTTTAAAACGAGCTCAATCCTTACCTTCTATATATATACATATTGATGAAGATCTGCAGCAAAGAAGTCGTAGGCTTTTCTGCTTCCCTGATTGAGGCATTCCCACGTAGATTGACTATGGCCAGTAAGCATATTGGCTGAGTGAGGCATCAATGAATTTATAACCTTTTATACGATGAGGGCAACAAGAATTGAATGCTCATACAACTGGTATTAATGCTTGTTTGAATCCTATATACTGTCTCATCACTAATGAGTTTCTTTGCAATAATGACATAACACAATATTCTTTGGCTCACACTTCTAGCCTTCTCAAGCTTACTTGAGATAATTATCCTTGTTAATTGATCAAAAGAAAGAGACTTGGATCAACAAGACCGAACGATAGTTCAAAGATTGATTGTTTTTTTACAAGATTGCTTTAAGAAAGAACAATACACAAACACTGAATAAACATCTTCAGGTCTTCTCTGGTTCAGCTCAATGCGCATTGCTTGAATCGTCTAACAACAACACTGAGCAACGCTCTTTTTTAATCTAACGACCCTTTGATTGCCTTTTTGGGTCAACACATAGTTTCTTTGAGCATTGATATATTTTTGTCGTCTGCTGTCTGCGTTGGGGTATCAGCTACACGCTGCTGTATAAAGGGGCTATATTTAATAAAACAAAAAGAATGACGCACGGTTAACATGTCAGCCGGACTCTTCTACAATCTAATGGCATTAATGTGTTTCTTTGCTAGCTTGGCATGTAACACCAGAGTCTCTAGCTAAACTTTGATGTTGTATATAATTAATAACAGCAAGTAGTTTATTACTATAGTGTAAGATATTTTTTAGGATAGTGTCAGCCATTAATTAGCAGTCAGCACAACAGTAATCAGTATGTGGCAAGTCTAGTCTGTTACCCCACCAGGTAGGGAAATTGTACGATTCACCATTAGCACCACCTTGAACAGCCATAGATAAGATGAACACCATGATGGACGTTCCAGAGTCAAGAGCAGCTGAAAGTAAATAGTTATGCTTTGCAAACCAGTCAGTATAGCGACGTTTAAGATAGTACTGAGAGATATAAGCAATAAAGTAAGAACACCAAAAGTATGAAGAAGTGCCACCAGGCAGTACGCAGGCGTTGGCAAGAATAATAGGCACATTAACGTATTCAAATCCAACTTTGGGGTATTTTTTATGAAGGAACCAGAAAGGTACAGGCAAGAAAAGACCAATGAGGAAAGCCCACAAGACAATAGAGTAACGTGTATGAATACCAAACATGCTGGCAGGACCAATAGCGCCCCAAGTCATTGCTGCAGAGTTCATCGTCTGAGGGCCACTTACACCACTCCAGAACTTAGTACCTCCAGGCACTAGAAGGTCCTCGCCTCTGGTTTCGACAATCACCTTGTTGATAATATAATTGAAGATAGCACCGATAATAGTACCAGCAAACTGGGAAGCGAGTGTTATACGAGGAGGAATTTTCATGTAGTGACCAATCTTGAGATCTCTGGCAAGACCACCTGCTTGGTAAAGTGTGTTGAAACCAAGTGTTTTGAAATACATATTGGAAATAGGTTGACCATGCAGGATAAAACCAGCAATCATTTCAGTAAAAACGTTTAAACCGATAGAACTACCTGTGATAGCAGTGATCATGTTGAGAGGGAGTGAAAGGATAGAAGAAAGAATGACGGCAAAGATGGTGCCCCACCAAGGGAAACCGCTGTTGTTAGCGTAGGAGACACCAATACTTACACCAAGCGCAGCTACGTAAATGATATAGTACCACCAATCGGGAACTTCAGGGTACTTCTTCATTTCCCTCATATGAACATCAAGCTTGTCAGATTTCATATTGGATTTAGCGACGAGGAAGGACTTCCAGATGTCCTTTCCGTAAAACAGAATGACATGTGTTATAATCGAGGTCATGCCTGCATTCAGAAACACATAACTGAGAGCATACACAGGAGAGTAGACTGGAGGACCAATTTCAGCCAAGGCAGTTTCATTAAGAGTGTTTTCGGCTGTAATGACTTGATCTTGAGGATAATAATCAGCAGTACCGTTGTCAAAGAGACGGAAGATACTGTTGGACAAGAATGGGAAACTTTGTGCGTTCCATACATTGCAATAATAGAAAATGGGTGCCAGAAGATAAAGGAGACCAATACCAGCAAGGGAGTTAGCTTGCACCCACCAAGGGTATGTCAAAGGAGCAGCCATGTTTAGACGATTCCAGTCAAAGCACAGATTCAAAAAGCCCAAGCCTTCATTAGGATCGACGCCACCAAAGAGGTTCTGAACAAGTTGACTGTTTCGACTGGCCAAGCAGACGATGGAGAAGCCACTGAGTAACGGCCACATGTAAAGCGGAATGAATTCGTATACAAAGATGATGCCGAATGTGATAAAGAAGAATTTTGTACGCCATTTGGCTTCCGTGCTGCTTTTACAAAAGGTACTCAAGACAGAGACGGTTGGGAGTGTACTGGGCCAGATCACGCTTGCAGGATATATCATGAAAGATCGAAGTTGACCAGCAATACCATAACCAATAAGCTGAGTAGAGAACAAAAAGAAGATTGAGCCAGCAACTCCTGGTGTTCTGTTGAAGTAAAGTTGTTGTGTTGATAAGACACTTGTACCATAGGCAGAGTCGTTGGCAGTTGCAAACATGATGTAGACAAAAGTGTGTTCTTTAAAGTTGAAGGGTCCAGGATTGAGCCATCCTCCCTGAGGTAAATACCTGGCCCATGCATCACATAATACATAGGCAACAATCAACAAAAATGAGTTATTGAGACTGCTACCGGCTGGCTTAAAGTTCATCAGCTGATAAACAGAAGAGGAAAGGATTGAAAGAATCTATGAGGAGGTTAAAACGAGTCATTCAAATTATCCATAATATCAACTTACCACACCAACAACAATAGCACGAACCGTGATGATGGGAACATTAGGGGTATCCTCGGTGATAGCAATCTCGTTTACAATGGCAAGGTCGGTTTCATCCGCATTAAAATAATGTTCGTCATCATGTTTGGCAAGTTCTTCGACAGCCTTTACATCACTTGTGTCCTTAAGCCAGAACTCTTCTTGGCCCTTTGTTTCTTTTTCATTTATTATTTCTTCTTCCTTTTTTTCAGAGTATTGTAGCTCATCTTTCGTAACGTTTTCTTGTGACGCCATGAAGGGTCTTAAAGTATGTAATATTTAAAAGATGACAAGAATCAAAATAAGAGAAAAGGAGTCATATTTATACTAGTGTTTATCTTTTACTATGAAAAAAAAACTTCTAATTTGATAAGAGATGATATTTTCTTTGATGAATCTCACACCGTGTAACTGCAATCGTCAAAGACTGATATATTGTAACAACAGCAATACCAATGAGATGAGCTCATTATTCAACAAACATCCTAAAGATAGATTGCTTTCTCCGATTTACTTCTAACGACGCTTACAGTCTGTTACATAAAAGGACAATATTTCTAAAAAAGTACATTTTTCTATACATTAGCATCTCTTGCATTAAACTGACCCTGAGCATACAGAATGAATACTGTTTACTACTGCCTGTATCGGATCAAATGTAACAGGGGAGTATGTAACTTTATAAGAGAAGCTTATACTTTATTTGGATAAAAAACCCAAATCAAGGCGATGCATGTGGACATCTGTATCGAGTGATACTAAAATTGGAAAAAAATCAGAGCATCTTTTATTCTCATTGACTTGATTATGAATAAAGAATATCATAACAGTTGCTAAAGTGTAAATAATGTAAAACCATATATTTAAATGAATATACACCTTGGTATTTTGTAATCCCGTTTCCAATGTATGAATGTAACTGCATACATTGTCACACTGCTCCCATAGATAGGGTTCATGCTATTTGTCTTTGATACAGCATCCTTTAGAGACTACTGCATTTTCTCATAAGCAGTAAAGAGAATCAACCGAGCGTTTACTCTATTCATATGTATCAAATATAACAAGTAGATTTTACGTACTCTTACAATAAGTAGCTAGTAGTACATTTTGTTCTTTTAGTAAAACTGATTTATGCTTTCAGGTGTTACCTTTAGCGGGAATAAGATTCAAATAAAACACGCTGTGATTTTTATATTTTGTATTCTCTCTTTCCTATGACGACACTGTATTTGACAAATATTATATGCACGCACCTATTGACCATTTTCATACACTGCGAGTAAAACTTCTGCTGTTATTAAAAAGAACGGCAAGAGCCGGTCTTCGAATTGTGTGGTAAGGCTTTTTCAATGTACCGTTTGTATTACATTGACATAAACACAAAAGTGGATACAATTCGAATAATGGTGGTGGTAAAATATGCAATGACAGGATTGGTCCATCTATTCTTTTTATCATAAGGTCTCTAAGAAAAATTTGATGACACGGAATCTCTAAAGATGGCTTATTTGTAGTAAAGCTGAATAAACACTAGATAGATGGCCCTAGTAAACCTTCTTTATAGAATTTGCCGTCATATATGGCTTAACCTTATATTGTACTATTGATTGAACGTATTATATTTTGACAGTAAGGAGCATGTCTGGAACTATACGAGTAGTATGCACTATAGGAAATTTGGGCGGGGAGCTTCAATAAAAATTTGTCGAAATCTGCATAAAGTTGTAATAACCAGAAGACATCTACACACACAAAAACAAGGCCCAGCATATTTTGTCTTGCCTTGCTGCTCAAAGCGACCAGTAGTCTGGGAACATATAGTAGCCGCGTCAACGAGATTAGCATCACTAGAATATTATATATAAGCAACGTTGTAAGATATTTTCATCCTGATGTTGGTTGATGAGCTTACCTTTCCCCATTATTGTCGCTTTTCTCGACAGTCGAATACGGAGGACACAAGCCTTGTTCTTCGGAAGCACCAGCATCATTTGCTTCTACATCTTTTTAAATGTACAAGTTAGCCTCTTCCCTTTATCTATTGAATATCGCAATTATCTTGTACGCTGCTTGGTGTGGTAGAAGGCTTCTTTTCTCTACGAATCCAATAGTAACGAAGCATCAGTCTAGCGCCCCAAGAACCAACACGAGCACGCAAAGGAACAAAAGGAGCCGCTGTTTGCTCAAGAAGCTCGACAGCTCTAAGCTTTCCTCGTGGATTCGCTGCCTTGAATGGCTTACCAGCCTCAATCTTGAATTCATCTTTTACTTGACGAATAATAGCTGGCAGTCTAAAGCGCTTGAGGTGATCACAAAAAGCATTAAACGTCATGTCGCCAATTGGACTGCCGTGTACGTTCTCCATAGGCTTTCTATAAATATCCCATGAGAATTGGTGCTTCCTATTTGAGTCCTCGTTAAGTGGGTGCTCAATGATAGATTTAGGGGACAAGTTATTTGCAAACAAGCCATGGACCAGTTTTTCTTGCTCTGTATGCCTTGGCCTGCTTACTTCAATTATATTAAAACGTGTGTCCTCAACTTGTACTTTCAGTTGCGCGTTTTCCTTTCTCAACTCCTCAAGTTGTGCTTCAAGTTTTTATTTAGAGATTATCATCTCCCTCGTTTCTTCTCTTAGCTCAGCTATCTGACCAGATGCTGCTCCTATAACATCCCTGGTCTCATTCTGTGTTGAAATTACTGTAAGGATAAGCCTGTTGAGCATATCTTCACGTAGAAAGCTTTCTTGGTACATTGTTGTTTTTAGTGTTGTGAAAAGAATATATATATATATATATATATAAAACAGATGGCTTTGTATTTAATTAGCAATTCTCTGTTTTTCATATCAATTGAGCGGCCACAAAGCGAAACAATCTCATCAACATTGACTACTTTTATCTTGGAGGCAGCAGAAGAGATTTTGTATGACCAAATACAGTCTTTATTTGTCTTTACATCAAATACTTTAACGAGGGCTAGTAATCAAAGCTTCCATCTGGAAACGTATATCTCAAGCATGATACAACTTCACCAAAATATGTGAGCTCATTCATCGTAGTCCTTGGTCCATTTTGTCTGTTGGCGTTGACTTTAATGCATAGCTTAACAAAAAAGCTTGTTCTATTACCTACTGTGGTTCATTGAACATCCAAATACAGTCTGATATGGGCTCCACGGCCTACATCCAAGCTCGACAATACTTCCAGAATCAAGATCAGTGTAAATATCAGGGCTTTGATTCTCAAAGTACTTCTTCATTAGCGCAGAGTAATCAAATGCCAAGGCTCCAGCACTGTTTTCCAATTCTACGCGGCTAATGGACCCTTAAACCCTCATATTTGTTCTCTTCGTCGCCATCTAGCAAGGCTCCACCAGATTTTTCTTTACCTTCAGCTACAGTCATACCCTCTACCCAATGCAGTGAAACAAGCTGAAGCATAACATTTTCGCAGTTGGTAGCAGGATCTTTTCTTGATTTCACCCTTGACTTATACTCTTGGATTGTTCTCTCAATAGAAAAAACAGCATAAGAAGATATCCATCCCAAGTACAAGATCAGACCAGGAATGTATACTAGATGATGCCGGTTGATGCTAAAAATCCACAGCTGTAGTTTACCTGCATCGACAAGTTCTTTCAGCCAGGAACTCCATTCCAAGATCGCTGCTACATCGCTCTTCATGATCTCTCTTTGGCAAGCAAGGTTGGTCATTCTGGATATATACATGCTCTTCTGCTGAATCCTTTTGTCAAGCTAGCAACCTGCAACTGTTGTCGGCAAACTGTATCTCAAAAAATGAACCCAGTCCACCGAACGGCTGTGTCCACTCTCTATACTTTCATTTACGTCAGAAAAGGTGGCTGGAGTAAGCAGACGAGATCCTCTCAGCAGTGAATTGATTTGCTGAATATCCTTATTCCGCAATCTTAAGGGATGCTGGGATTGCTAGCTGACGATGAATGTATCAGTGCTGATCATGTTTGCTATTTGTAGCCCAATATTGCTACCAAATAAGTGCATCAAGTCCACAGGAAAGAAAAATGCACTATGAAAAGCTTGAGATCAGCAAATGGCGTTGGAAGTTTTTGACTTATGGCTTCGTTTGCTGTCTTAAACGGGTCTTTACTTCGAAAGGCAAATCTGCTGGAAGGAGGGGAAAAAAAGCATTTTTGTTTTCGATTCTTGCTGCTTTGATAGTGCAGCATCTATATCCGCGTAGGTGAAAATGGTCTGACTGATCAGCAAGCTTAGCATAAGCAGGGATGTCACCAAACGCAAGCAGAGGATGTGTATTAACAGTCATGTTTGAGCTTGACAATTTGAAACCTTTCGATTGTAAAATATTCTGTTCCTTCTTAATCGGCTTGATGAATGAAAAAAACTTCTTGGGAACTTTGGACCAGGAGCGACACATACTTGTAATATGTATTCGCTTTCAGTACGTACCGTATTTTTATTAATTATTGACGTTGATTTTATAAAATATTGTTGTAAAATAAAAAAAAATATTTTCGTAAAAAGATGACAAAAAAAAATACGTTTGAATAAAACGACATCATGTCAAAAGAGAGAGAGAGAGAGATAATGAGTATATGTAGAAAAAGAGAGAAAACGTATGTTAGTATTAGGGCACATATCCTAATATTAGTTTTACTTACCACCAAGGTGCATTCTGGGGAGGGTAGCGATAACTACCCAGGATAGTTTAAACAAAAAAAAAATGAACGGAGGGCAGAGAGAGCCCAGGGCGTCAGAAGAGGCTATTGGGGAACGGTCCAGATACACGCCAGAGAGCAAAGAGGGCGGGACAAGCGAGTCAGAGCAAGGACCATGAGGACAGGCTAGTTTTGATTGGTGAATCTTTGAACCCTCAGAGGAACATTTGATAACTGCTGTAAAAAAGCAAAAAAAAGGACTCAATTAAAATGGGTTTTTATATGTTTTTCTTTTTCAAGTAGGTTATCTAGGACAAAGGAATCATGTCAAATAGAAGCAATCTGCTTCGTGGCCATGCAAGAATATGCATTGCCAAATATGACTACATGTTCTTCTGATTTCATGGAAAAACCGAATAAAGAATTTAAACTTTTACAAGGAGACTAAAGAGGGCTATTTCTAATATTAAGTTAGTTTCAACTCCAAGGCATCCCACCTGTTAATATTACTGTCAAATGAGATAGTGAGCCATATTCTTTTTGTATTTGTTATTAGCTCTGATAACAATACAACGGTTTCAATTCGACATCTAAATTTGGAAAGCACGACATTCAATCTCATTATTTTTTTGGAAATACAGTGTATCCATGGATGTCAAGGATGGTACTAGGAAGATATTCTTGGCGACAACGAATTTGCATTTCGTACAGCATGAGTTTTGTTCTCACCATTGGGTGCATTTATTTTCGATCACAGGCGAATTTACTTTCCGGAAAGACTGTATAGCCTTGGTTAAATTCAAAATAACCAGGTGAAAGATGGACATCGTATGTTTGCCATTTTTGAAAATTTGGAATCTGTCACTATAAAGGCTAAGGTATAGGATCAGTCAGTATTTTCCCTTGCCAAGAATACCATCAAGAGTCATAAAGAACATCTTGATCCTTCTCGTGCTTGTTGGATGACTTCATAAGCTCAAGGATTTCATCGTTACTGACAAGCAGTGCTAATTGCTCATTTAAAGAAAGATAATTCATCTTTCTATTCTCACCACACTTGCTGCACTTGTCACAACCATCATCACTTCCAAACAATGTACATCCATTTTTGCATACATCGTACTCTCTTGCTTTGACGGGAAAGATGTTGATAATTCAGTCTCTTAATTTAGAATCAGAGTACAAAAAGGGTGCCTTTGGAAAGCATTTCTTGATATGGCTATTTACCATACCAATTATACCATCAAAATCTTCCCTTGAAACGCCCTTCTTTTTTGCATACTGAAAGATTTTGAGGCTGGCTTCTAAGGCAGGATCATCAGTTACGGTGTTGCTTAACTTCGCTTCTATAGGTCCATCCATACTGACACCTTGAAAAGGACGAGCATCAAAAGCTTCTTCTTTATGAGCATTGTACTTATACCAATCCAAGTCGCTAGCCATTTCCTCAAACTCCCCTGTCTCATTTTCAGATACTTCAGTTTCAGGTATATTGTCAATAGACATGGCATTTATGCCGTCATCATCCATGACACTATCATTCTGCACGATTGAAAAGCCATTTTAGAATTAGGTACAATTTAATCTATAATCAGTTTAATCCTGCCTCCCATAAGTGTACTTGGATGTCGATAACCAGAACATTGATGCGACTGGTGGAATTTTTTAGAAACTTTACGTCCGTCGTTAAAAGAAATTCTTTAAATGTCAGAGCTCTCATTTTGCCCCTTTTCTTTTATGGCACAAAGATTTTTTTAAAAAAAGAAAAAGAAAAAACAGCCGCATCTTTGAAGCTTGTGTAGAAATGTGTAGAAATGTGTAGATTTGTGTATGAAATGTATACACTACTTCCAGAAAGTAATGCCGTTCCAAGATGTCGTATTTTGTATATTTTGTATTATAAATTCTCGAATTATGCGACATTATTTGTAGAAAAACTATATTTCTGAAGAAACCCATAGATTCGGACTCAAAATTTCCTATAATGATGGGCTACACAATAAAATCTAGTCCTATCAGGAGAGGAACCAATGTACCCCTCAGTCAGTTGTTCACTTTGAATGGGAACAAATATTTGTCTTTGTTGTGCCATACACGTTGTGAAAAGTTTAATATAAGCACAATAAGGAAAAGAATATGAAAAGATGAAAGGGAACTGATAGAATCTCATAAACCTTTATGACTTTTCAGAATAATGGCTATGGTGTATCAAACCAAATCGGACTCAATAGACTCATAGCACAAAGAGTTATCCCACTTTGTGTTGCTCATGATGAACAACATCCAAAGCTATAGAAACATTGATTGTTGTCGTCGTGACTTTCTTTCTCTTTCTCTCTCTTTTTTTATATGAATCAGTATCGATCTCAACTAGAAGATATAAATAAAGAAATATACCATATCGATCATGTCATTAATACACTAAAAACAAAAAAGAATGCATTAATAGAAACAAGAAATCAATTACTAGATAAAATAGCACAAACTGCCATCGTTGCAGATCAAACGTCTACTCTGTATGACACTGAAGACTTTCCTTGGTCAACCAGACTGAAAGCATTAGCACAACAACATTTCAACATTACTTCATTTCGTGCATTACAACTACCCATTCTTAATGCTGCACTAGAACAAAAACGCGATCTATTTGTGTTATTACCGACTGGAGGTGGAAAGTCACTTTGCTATCAACTACCTGCTATCATGGATCAAACCGACGGCTTCACACTTGTCATTTCTCCACTTGTGTCTCTTATTAAAGATCAGGTTTATCATCTTCGGGAAGCAAATGTACCTGCAGAATATTTAGTGGGCTCTTCATCCAAGGAACAGGTGTCACTTATTCAGTCAAACATGTTTCCAAAAAAGAAAGGTCAACCTAGACCCCATCCGTTTAAATTGTTATATGTCACACCTGAAAAAATCGCAAAAAGCAAACGATTCATGGCTGCTTTAAACAAAGCCTATGATGCTGGTATGCTCACAAGGATTGTTGTAGATGAAGCTCACTGTTGTTCTCAGCAAGGACATGACTTTAGGTATACTTTACATATGTATTTGTATGGTTTGATTCACGCTTCTTTCATTCTAGACCAGACTATAAACAACTAAATATATTACGAGTAAATAACCAAAGAAGATGACCACATTTTATATACAAGCATTTTATTTATTTATTTACATTTAGACCGTGTTTCCCAAAACACGCATCATGGCACTTACAGCTACCTGTCCTTGGTCTGTCATGAAGGATGTCATGCGTATACTCAATATGAAACAACCCCAAGTTCCAAATGGCACGCTTGTATTCAGCGCCCCACTTTTTAGTATGAACATTCGAATTATGCTAACAAAAAAACTAAACTGTTTTTGTAGGACCAAACCTTATTTATCGTGTTGTACAAAAGCCGGATACAGCGGACGAAACGATCCGACACGTCACTCACTGGATAACTGCCCATTATCCAGATCAATCTGGTATCATTTACTGTCTTAGCAAAAAGGATACAGAGACAGTGGCTCAGATGATTTATAAGGAGAGTAACGGAAGGATCAAATGCGGATCTTACCATGCTGACATGGATGATGTAAATTTTTCGTTCACACGTACACAGGCTTGTTTTATAATAACTCAATTTATATAGGAAGACAAAGACTACATTCACCAAAAATGGAGAACAAAGGAAATTCAAGTTGTCGTGGCTACTATCGCCTTTGGTATGGGTATCAACCACTTGGAAACAAGATTTGTCATCCATCATTGCCTATCAAAATCCATAGAAGGCTATTATCAAGAGAGCGGGCGTGCCGGAAGAGATGGTAAAAATGCCGAATGTATCATCTATTACAACCCTTCCGATGGTATATAAATAAATATATATATGTATATATTTATATTTATATAATGTAACTATTGTTAGTGATGAGATTAAACCCTATGGTTGTAGGTGAAGTCAATGGACAACATACACGCAAGTATACGTTACAGAAAAAAAAAAGAATAAGAGCTCATTGAAACTTAATAGTATATCAAATGGTAAAGTATGCTCAGGATTATACTACTTGTCGTAAGATCTTGTTTGAAAGGTACTTTGAGTTAGATGCCCAAGAAGGTGAAGGATTGGTGAACAATGTCACACCTGATCAACCATGTGGGATTTGTGACAACTGCACTAGATCCAGAGATGAAATCGTCGTGGAAAACATCTCAACTGAAGCCAGAACCTTAATTACGATATGTGACATGATGAAACAAGTGAATGAAAGGGTTACTATGAACAAGCTAGTCCAGATGATACAAGGTCGCGGATTAGGTATAATCAAGTCTCATATCATGAACCGTCCAGATATAGAAATTCCAATCCGTAGATTTACTGAATATGTACTATGCATTGTTTGAGCACTTCCAAAAAACTTACACTTGTACATAATAGGATATTGAAAGAATTATCCATCACTTACTCTGTCAAGGTTACTTGGCTGAAGATATTGTATTCACTCCTTATACGACCATCACGTAAAGAACTTTGGCGTATTTGTTTGTTGTTTTTATTGATCAATTTTAATAGTTATATCGTCAAGGGCTCCCTTGGTAATGAATTGCTTAGAAATTCTCAGTTAGAGATCAATCTTGAATTTATATCATCTAATCGTTACAACAAAAAGCTCAAGGCTAACCCCAAACAATAAGAATGCAGTTCCGGTGTCAGCAGATGATTTTATAGAAAAATGCTACGTAATACAAGGAGTGGGGAAGAGGAAGAGAAAAGAGGAAAAAAAAAAAAATAAAGTTTTAGGAGATAAATGTATTGTTGTTATGTATGATCAACCCAAACAACAACAACTACAGCTCCGAATACCTTCTGTTTCTTCTTTCTCTCTCTTTCTATATAAAGCCTTTTATTTCTTTTTTCTTTTCTTTCTTGCCTTCCCTCTCTTCATCGCGCCTTCCCTCTTTACTTTCTCTCCTCAGCCAACAAGAAAAATAATCTATTGCTTAAAAGCCTTTCCTTTTTTAAGATCCATCCATGCTTGCTTCAGAGACAAGGCCAAAGCTAACCCTTCCTCAACAAAAACTCTCCCACTCTACCCCAGCTCCACGCTATTATGAAGAACCCTGCTCACCTGTGTCTACGACGACCTCCTTTATATCCAACGTTTCTTGGATAGCTGAGAAGTCAGCAGCTGAACTTGGTGTCTTGCTTAAAAGTGCTTATAAATCATTACGCGAAAAAGAAAAAGGTATTCTAAAAATACACTATAAACAGCATGAGCTGACATTTTGTCGCAGATCTTGTCCTGGTTGCAGAGATTGGCAAATCTTTACTCGAATACAACCAGAACCTCAAATCAGACTATGATAAATTACTGCAAAATGCATCTAGCATGAACCAAGAGCAGCAAGAGATGCGATTGATATCCAGTAAAAAAGCATATGATAAAATTATTGAATCACTTGAGCATAAAAATGAAGAAATTCAATACATGCTTGAACAAACCAGACAGCGCTCCAAGATCACTCAACAGAACCACGAAAAGAACCAACGCAAACTAGAAGCAGAAATTGAAATTCTCCACCACAGCCTTGAGATCGCATCTCAAAAGATCCAGGAACTCGAAGAGGACCGTCTGCTCAATCAGGAACGAGCCAGCAGACAGCATCAACAAAAAATTGAGCAACAACGAAAGGAAGACTTGATTTTATTGGAGGAATTGACGACGAAAATGGAAGAGTTACATAGAGAAAACAATTACCTTCAAAAATCAAAAAAGGCTGTTGAAGAAAAACTTGCTATAGCCCTCAAAGATCTTGAGCAATTACAGCAAGAGTTTGAACACTTTGAGTTGACCCAGAATGGCTACATGTCGTTGCAAGAAGCCTTTCAGAGACAGACGGATCATGTCAAAGAGCTCAATGATCGTCTTGAAGAGCATAGAAATATTCTTGCTCGTTATCGAGATAAAGAACAATGGTTGACAGAGGCACCAATTAGTTATGCAACATCCACAAGTAACTTGATGCATGAGTTAGATACAGCCAAGTGCCTATCCAAAAGTAGTTCAGAGAATGACTTACCATCATATGCCTCTAAAATTTGTGATCTTGCCACTCTTACCGAACGCCATCTTACATCATTTTATAATGCACCAGCTGATTATGCTTTCGATACTATTCTATCAACCATAGGCATCGATGACCGTGCATCCCTGCATGAAGCCGAAAAGCTGCTATGTTCTATTAATGCGGATGACACATCTCTCTTTGGTCCTGAAGGCTCAGGAACCGTCTATGCAGAACTCGACATCTACCCAACCCTCAAAGTACCTCAGCAAATACAAAAAGAAGAGAAAGAACAACCTAAAGGGTTAATTCACCGTATCCTCTTTCACATCCGTTACCTCTTTCGTTCTGTCTTCCGATGGTGTCGATTTGCGCTTATTTTAGCCACCGCGGTCTTTATTAATTTATGGAAAGGTCCTGACCTCATCTTGGACAAATAGCCTCATTGCTAACCTTCCCCCTCCCTCCTTTTTATATAACGCTCTATCTCCTTCTCCTTAAATGGTTCTCCTCCTTCTTCCCTCCCCTCTTGTTTATATAATATGTGTATATGCTTCTTTCTATGGATCAACGTAAAATAATTTCTTAAAAAAAACTCCCCTTTGTTTCTCGTGTACATTTTAGGTAAATAAATAAAAACTATTATTTTTTCCCAGCATGATATTTTGGTTTGGGTAAAGAAAAGATTTATTATGAGCTTACTCTACGTGATCAGCCAAGGCATCGTGGATGATGGTATCATACCATGATGCATAAACCTGACGATGATGCTGAACAAGTTTAAGAATGCGCTGAGTGAGTGCTTGGAGATTACTACGTATGTGCTCTAATCCGTTACTAGTGATGACTGCGTCACTAACAAATTGTTTGTTCTGTATTGTGCTCTTGATGACAAGAGCCACACGGCGAGAAAGTAAAGAATAGACTGTGTCGTTGTGTGACAGTGTCTTGTCCACCATGTTTCGTATCATCTGTCGTCGTTCGGGACGCAGGTCGCCGACAGTCCGTTCAATTTCTGCAGCCAAATGTTCTACGGTCGTCGACTTATCCTTAAGCATGGTAAATAGCTTTACACCGAGCTCAGATAGGGCCTGAGAGCTTGCACTACCAAAGTTTCGTGCAAGCATGAGAAGGGCAGCCACCATCGTATTGGCTTGAAACTCGTTTTGGAACTCTTGCATGCGCCGGACGTCCAGGAAAAGTGTCTCGGGTAGTTTATCTCTTGTCAGAATCTGAGGTTGAGATAAAAGAGAGACAAACGCTTCTTCAAAGATTGCATCGTGTGTTGGTCTTGCACTATGTGCTTGCTGTACCTTTTCTGGGTTTCTTTGGGCTGCCACCTGGCGCAATCGCTCGCAGGACTCGTTAAGCCAGCCTTTGGTCTTAACAAGCGGAATCATGCCGCTACTGAGCATCTCGGCAAACTTTTCTCGCTCGTAGTCGATAGCGATAGGCATCAATGGGCGACGAAGGGCACGTAATCGGAAGTTAGCAAGATCTAGAGACATGTTGTCGAGCAAGTGGAAGATACGTTTAATCTGTTCGACAGGATCAGCATCAAGATGTCGTGCAGCCTCGATCTCCTTGTCACGCACGGGCGCACACATGCTAGCCATGGTGTCGAGTACATATTGAATCGTCTTTTGGATGTCAAATATATTTTGGTCGAGCTGTTGCTGAATGAAATCAAGATCAAGGCCTTGTTCTATGCGTTGGTACAAGGTTGTGCCTGGACGCACAAGTGATAAAAGACGCTAAGAATGATAAAAACAAATGATTGGTTCCATGAGCTCTTCATACAGTTTCTTTTTTCTTTACCTTTTGAATGTCTTGAACAAGAGGAGGTACACATGTTGTGATGTTGCCCTGTTCAATTTCCTCTCGTATCTTGTCAAAGAAAGCCCTTTCTGCTATTTCCTTGATACGCTGCTCCAACTCATTTTCATCATTGGGAAGGTAATGCTCCAGCCCAAAGTCAGGTTCCAGGATCAACTCATGTGCCAGTTGAAGATTGGTCAAATGAGACGGAGCGTAGCCACTAAGGATATCATTCAGCTGGTCCTTGTTGACCTGGCTCGTGCTGGACTGTTCTTCCAAGTCAGGGGTACGAGGCTTTACATTCTCTTGTTGCTTCCTTCTACCAGATGAGGTTGATGCTGTTACATGTTCTAATGCACGTTGAAGCCCTTCCAGTGCTGCAGTTCCACCAATTTTTTGGAGCTTATGCTTGATTTGATCCAGCTGCTGTTGGAGTTGATCACCAACCGATCTGTCGCCGTTTTGATGAGCAATCATGGTTTGTCGAAGGGTAGAGAGTTGAACATAGTAGGCAATCATGTTTTCTATCAATTGATCACGATCTCGTGATTTCCATGATTCAAACAGGATGTTATAGTCGTTCCAGGCTTCAACAAATGCAAGTCTCGCTGCTGTGGCTCCAGGACGACCATGGGCATTGAGCCAAGTTTCAAAGAGGTGAAGCATATGTTTAGCAGAGTCATGCAATTTCTTTTTTTTAAAAAAAAAATGAGTCTATGCAAATGATGACTAATACAAACTACTTACCTTTTCTTCCTCACTATCCAAATTCTGCAGAATTTCCTCTGGGCACATTAGCATCATGTAGGAAGTCAAAAGCACTCGTGCACGATGATGACTATCATTGTCTACCAACTTTAATGCAGTATTGAGTACCTTCGTAGTGACAACGATAACCTTGGGCTGATGAAGGAGCTGACTAAGTGCATTGAACTGCAGCCAAGTCTCTGGTGAAGAAGGTGAAGGCAGTTCCAATTCACGAAAGAGCTTGCGAATAACAGACCAGGATGAAGGCTTCTTCTTCTTGATCGGTTCAGATGATTCTTGACTAGTCGATGGTACGACGGCTGTAGTAGCTGACATAGTGGATGCAGTATGATTACTATTTACGGAAGAAGTGATTGCCGCCGTGTCTTTTGACTTGTGCTTTTTATATCTATTTAAATGAGCCAATCGCCTTGCTTCTGTCTTCTCGATTCTGTTTTCGAGTTCAGCCCTGCGTCTCTCTATGCAACAAATATATTATAAATCAATAATTTCTTATGCGATAAGCATTCAATTACCTTGCTCTTCCTTTGAGCGACGCTTATTCTGAAGAACTACTGTTTTGGCTCTTTCAACCACCTTCTTGGAGGCTGCTCTTCTTTGCTCGATACGTTGTTTTCGGTTAAGCTCAGCCAATTCCAAAGATTTCAAGAGTAAATTGTTTTGATGCTCACGAATCTTTTGCAGCTCTTGAGCGCGCTCCTTGACTCGACTAAAGTTTTCATTCATCTTATTTCTTCGTTCTTCTCGTAGCATATCACTACTCTTGACTTTTTCTTTTATATCCGATGTATTAAAGTTCCGATTCAACTTTTTCCCTATTGGGTGAGGCGTTCTAGAAGGTTTCTTGACCGCCAATTCAGCTTTTTTCTTCTTGTCCTTGGATTCCATTTAACACAAAAAGAAAAAGACCAAGAAAAAGAAAAGAGGAGAAGAAAGAAAAGGATAAAGAGCTTTACGAATTTAAATGAGCGCACTTTGCTGTTTTGATATGACCCGTGACTTTACACGTGCCTCTTATTTCTTTTTCTTGCTCCTATTGCGTACACACACCAACCCTTCTGATATTTACATTGTATGAAAATACGTGAAGTCTAAAAACACAAACAGTTGACCTGATGACATCCACCTGCTTTACACTTATGCTCGGCTCCTCGAGTCTTCAGGTTAATGTCTATAGTCAAGAAGTATAAAATCTCAATTTCTTTATCAAGGCACAAAGAAATGATTCCCAAAGATACAACAAAATACTTCTCTCGCAGTAAATCCAGTATCATTTTATAAAATGAATAACAAGATATTCATTATGAATCAGGAATCGTTACATTAAAAAAAAAAAGCTAACTTTTCTTGATGAACAACCAGTTCCCCAAACGATACTCATAATGTTGAAAACAACTCACCATTCGTAAAAGGCTTTGTTTTCATAATTTGGGTCATTGCCCTAATCGTAAGGCACGATAATTGCGCAATCTGTTGTTGATTCGCTCGAAACACTAGCGTATTAAGAATGCTCTCTTGTAATTATCCTAATATACTTCATCTTTGGTGTAAGATTGTATAAGGATGAACAATACACAAAGATTGACCATTAAATAGTGTTTATATACACCGCGTCATACTCAGCTCTCATTAACCATAGTTAATTCATGCAATCGTCCTGTTGCCGTACCTCAAGAAAAAGAATGATTTTCCATTACCATCCGTTGATCGTCTTTATAAAAAGAATGCCATAATATGTAATTCTTTCTCGTCCTCCTTTTTCAATTCAGGAATGTTCCTTCAGATAAATATGTCAATTACACAAGGAAAGATACCTTATTTACTGCCATTAGTTCAGAGATAGATCAAGGACACTTTCCAATCTTCAGATCGAAAAATTGGACCTTATCCTGGACTGTATATTCTATTTGAAAGAGAAGCTTCTATAATTCAGAAAAAAAAAAAATTTATTCATGTATCGTTTACATAGTGTTTTTGTGAGTTGAAACGATGTCTACAAATGATGTAATTTTATATAAATATATGTAGTTATCCTACGCATGATTTCTCTTTCTCAGCGTGGACATGGCCGAAGTATCTGTACTGGGTAATACTTGTTCATTGGTATCATCAGGGTGAGACATGGTATCCTTTTCGTCTTCTTCGACCCATTTCTTGAGAAGTGCCACTTGGAAATTACCCAAGAAAAGTCTATTATGCATTAATGACATGATGTATATATACAATACTATCTACTTACTGGCAGATATGATACATGAGCAAAGGAAGAGATAAGAGACCAACGATACCATAACTTGTATTGGCATATAGCACATTGATCAATGGGATACCCATTGACACTGTCTTGGTGGCTCCACAGTACTATTTAGGAAAAGTATGTCAAATCAGACTATTTTAATCAAGGCAAATTCTCTTACCATGATGGCCACTGTGTCCTTTCTACTAAAACGCCATTTTGAGACCCATTTGGGTTCATTTTTAGTGGGCCAAGGCAAACGAGCGATATAGATACAAGTAGCGCATCCAAAAAGATACATAAAGATGTCCACAAAGATAATAGCCACAATATCGACACCACTTGTCCTGTGGAACGCATCACTGGCCACACCATCACAAAAGACAGACCACACGAGACAGAGCAGCGCCAGACTGTTGATGATCGGAAATCGGCATTTGGCTGCAATGTATTTGATTTGTTTAGGGAATAAGAAACGAATGAACTGTCCAACTACCAGTGGTGCTAGCACAGTCAGTCCTAGTGTCTTGAGTACATTGACGTAATCAGGGTTTCCACGAGCAGTGCCTGGCTGAAACACGATTTCGTCATTTTGAAATGCTATTATACGCTGAGTGTGACAACATTATGATTTGCTAATATTATATACCTGTCATCAGTCCAGGTGAGACAAAGATACCAAGTACATTGCCTAATGCAGCATTGAACAGCGCTAACCAATGGGAATAATAACAAGCGGTTAATATAGTCAAGTACCCATATATACATGTCACATGCCTGCTCCATCATTTCCGTTTGCATTTCTAGTCATGACTACATTTGATGATACCGTGGTACTTGTCGCTAATGCGATCATCCAGCCCTTATAGACTGTATCAGACAAATTGGCGTGCACTGCAATAAAGAATCGCACGATGCCATACATCAGGAAGGGAAGCAAGATAAAGTTGATGACTTGAACAACCAAATGGAGTCGCCAGCGAAGAATTGTTCTCAGCATCACACTCACTTCTAATCCTAGTCCTGACAGTAAGAAGATCACAATGACCGCTCCCCATTTGACAGTATACTGAGCTTGGATCGAACCGTTAGCTTTTCCGACCTGAGGAAAGGCCCATGCAAGTCCAATGACAATACCAAGGCCTAACAGGAACCAGTAACGTAAAAAAATAGAATAGGCAGTCGATTTAAACTTTTGAAACGCAGTTTTTTTGGGAGGGTCGTTATGAACTACGTCAGGTATGTTTATGCTGGAAGATGAAGGCGTTGAGTTCTCTTTCTTGGCCGTGCTTTCATGTACTTGAATAGTCTCTGTCGTTGACATGGAAACCTGTTCTAAAATAAAAATAAAAAACCAAAAAAAAAAAAAGAAAAAGCTCATAGATCAGCTTCTCGGATAAAGTTTTTATACAACCTCTTTTTTTCTGTTTGTGTGTTCTTAATTGAATATCCGATTGTCTAAAAAAGGGCCATCTTTGATACAAGGATATCACAGTAAGGGAACACTGTCCCTCTGTGCGTGGTCTTACTTGTGCCTTTTTCAATGAAACCATTGCCGAGAGATGATTGGGAGGAGCTAATTTATATATATTGTTAAAGACATCTTTTGATGTAAGCCACTATCTCGTCTATATTTATTTGTCCCTGTTATGCATTCAACATGAAAGTATGCACTTGGTGCATAATTTCTTACATTGAAAGAGAGAGAGAGATCATGACATGCATCGGTTGTCTTACTGTTAAACTTTATCAAGATATCGTTTTACTAAATACCTGTGTAAGGCATTGTAACAAGTGCTGGAATCACAACGTGCATAAACATATGATGAATAGATAAACAAACGTATAATTAAACAGGGGCACACACATCCATTTAGAAATGCGTTTAATTATACTAATATCTTTATTTAATACTCTCCCCTGAATAAAGCATCTCCTTTCCTTGTCAAAAGATATATATAATAGTCATTCTCGCTTGAAGAATTGTGCTCATATTCGAGGCAACATGTATACCACATTAGAACTAGTCTATAAATAGTTGATCAAATCGAATTAGAAGAAGAGAGGACGGCCTTCATCGCTTAATTGGGAACTAATTGGTGAAACAATATACTATGAAAATACGTTTATGTTACCTTTAGGCTATTTCTTTAGTGCGTAGATTTATAGATAAACGGAACTCTAGTAATGTAGACTAGCTAAATCAAAAATGAGGAGTTATCACTTGGTTATATTCTATATTGAATAAGGATCAGTAAAGGATGATCTGTGGCGGTAACTAAAGTTCAGTAACATTGATCGACATTGTCCAACCCATTTGTACAGTCAGTCCGGAAAATGGCGAACACATTAGCGAAACAAATATGAAGATCTATGACCTGTGATACCACAGCCCCGTTTACCTTTCTGGCTTATGCAAATAGTGTTTCTCTTACGTAGAGAATGATTTATTTATTTAGATACGAACTTATTAGCTTTCTAACCAAAGGCTTAGTAGTGTTGCTTTAAAAGCTATCAAATTGATTCGTATGATAAAGAATGATCCTTTGTAGCGTTCATCAACCTTTCTAGTTTGATAAACATGATTGATTAGGACTTTACTTCCGACAGAAATTTGCAGGACAGTGATCTTGTGTGCCCCAGACGTCTCATGATCACATTTCTGTGTTTCTCTGATTCACTCAGACATCACTGATTTATGCCTAGTACGAATTTGTAATCTTCATCAATGGCCTACTCTTTGGCTTTCTCAAGCTTAAATGTAGGTTTCAACCTGTTATAGTTTTGACATTCATTTGATTATCTGCTGAATACGCACAACTCTTTAGGATGTGCTCTAATTTATGCTTAAGCAATACTGAGCGTAATCAATATACAAAAACCATGGTTCATCGTTTGCCGCATAATTTCTTGACAATAGTGCGTCTGGTTAGTCTCACAAACGTTTCGCTAAGCATGGTTATTTGATGAAGAGAAGTGAAGGGGCCATCTTTTTTCAATGCCGTTGATCCGTCTATAATAGTTAACAAGCACTAAAATGAAGGTGTTTCCGTATCCTGATGTAACACTAAAGAACCCAAATCTCATACACAGCGGCTCATCGATCGACTAGGTAAGACTGACATTGGTGGATGATGGCCTACTTGGACAATATTGAACTTATTGAGATAGTCTACAAGTATACGTTCAGCAACTTTTCATATATTATTCCAACGTACACTGCAATGATGTAGCTGTAGCTCGTAATAACCTAACAGACGTGCTTTCACGATAAGCCTATCACTTTCATGAACTAGAAATATCTTTTCATTAATCCTTAGCGTTTTAAGAGCTATCTCACTATTAACATTATTCGCTTATAATAATAAAGAGTGTTTGGAAATATTATTGAGATCTGTTAGTGTTTTGGTTGAATTACAATTAGAAGTTTAAAAAAGTCTGTCTAGACAGAATGTTTTCTGTCAACAGCATTAAAAGCGGGGCAAGTGTGACTTTTTATTTCTGCTGCTGACTGCAATAGCAAATAAACTCCGCGCGTTCTTTTGTGTGGTAGCTTTAAAGTTACTAAGATTTTAGTAGCCATATCGGATATTGAAAATTACTTTGATATATTACTCTGGATCATCTTAAAAGGTACAATCAACTTATTGCAAAGCTATTCGAATCAAATAACAATGTACAAATACACAATTTTTAACCGACGTAAACAATGGATAATCGCGAAATTAATAGGAACGTAGTGTTTGCAATAAATAAAAAGTCTTGTTTATGAAATTGTTGTCAGCTTGATGTTTACTTGATCTTTTTACAATTAATCAATAAAGTCACGATGTTTTCAAAACCACTGTGGACGCTGAATATTTTCCAGAATCAAATTGTGCTATCTTCTTTCGCTCAAATAATGAAGGTATGTACAATTGATGGAGGTTTAAAGGTCAAGAAGCTTAATTTTTCGATGGTAACATGCCTAATTTTAAAGCAAAATAAAAAAGCAAGTTCACAGCGTTTACTTATACGTCTGCTCCAGTACTTGATAAACGAAAGTTGACTGAGGAAGAACCATCAATTACCAAACAAACAAAGATTTATCGTAATAACGGCCCACAATACAGAAAATACTTTGATGATTCTATGCGAAGCTTTCTTAATAACAGTATTATTAACATAATACAAAAAAAAAAGAGCATCATTAGAAAGTGAGTTAAGAAAGCTTCAAGCGAAGCTTGAAGAATCAACAAGTTTGCTAAGGGGAATGATTTCAAAGGCAGCAGATTTAGCAGGTCTAGAAAGAAGTGTAATGACTGATTACATGGACAAAAATGGCGAAAAAAGAAATCATCTGCTGTGGATGGACTTTGTGAAAGGAAATTTTGAAACTACCGCAGAAAATCTGAAAGAAAGAAACCTGGCTTTTCTACCAGAAGCGTCGTCATCAAAAAAGGAATCAACTATCACCCCAGAAGAATACGAATATAGAACTTGCTCTATATCTTTAAAAAGAATAAGAAAAGACTTGTCTATAGACATTACAGATATAATAGACAATAAAATGAAAGAATCAACTATCAAATTAAGCGACTACTGCTGTAGATTCTTTTCTATTATACAAATGATGGCCTTGACAATAAAAACCATATATTTATTACAAGAAATGGCCAAATGGTGCTACAAGAGACGCAAAGGTATGACATCCGAAAAATACTGCCTCCCAAGTTTGTTGAACAGGATCAGATGGCGTCAATATTGCCAGCTTTGCCTCTGTTAACTGAAGCAATAAAATTTCATTCATAAGAGCTTTCTTTGCTCTTTACAGAGCAACACCTAAATTTGATACATTCTTATTACTTTGGAGCGAAAGGCCCAAACCAAAAAAATCTGGAAAAATATCCTGTCGAGAGCGTCATGTTCAAAGAATTAAACATTACAAAAGGTTCATATCATCAGAAAGAACTCCACAGTGAGGAAATGTCGATAACTTTGACCTCTATAGTCACAAACATTAAGAATATGTGGAGTGATGATACCATATTTAAAAGCTTCTAGATCATCTTTTGAATGTTTTATTAAAATTACACTTGGCTAAAAACAGGGCTGCAGAATACAGCGAATATATCAAAAATATCAAAGAGAAATCAAAACCGACAACAGTAGCAGCATCATCAGTAAGCAATTCTTTTTCTACAAATGACCACAAACGACACGTTCTTCGCTCAGAATACAAAAAGCTCAGTACATTAGAACGTAAATTAGAGAATCTTGATGATGAAGATAAAAGGCAACATTATGAAAGAAGAATAACACGAGGCCATGATAGAATAACGTACATCAAAAGTTTACCAAAGAAAATAGTTTCGGTAGGATCTCGTACAAAAACAAAAGGAATAGAAAATTAATTACTTATTTATGTAGTCTGATGCTAGTGACGTATCAGCGAATGAAGCCAGCAAGAAATATAAAAACGATGCCAGTAAAAGCCGTCTGTCTTGTTTAAAATCAGTTGCAAAATATCTTCTTTTTTCATCTTGCACAGATGTCACTAGAAATGACATCCAACGAGAGCTGCCAGATGCCACTGAAAAAGAGCTACAAACTCTGTCGTTAATAGCTCAAACATTGCAGCCTTACATCCTTGATAAACAAAACCACTTTGTTGTAGCGCGTTAAATTCCCCTTTGTATCCTTGCAAACGACATTCTGTGAGCGACAGAATACGTAAAATTTACTCGTCAGCTCTTTTCTCTACCATACCTCTCGTACTTGAATGCCTTACAAGTCAATGCACCATCCTTATATCAAACGATGACATCAGGTTCGGATGCATTGCTTATCTCGGATTTTAACTAAAAGGCAATCGGTTCGATCGAATATGCTCAATCTAACAAGGACACATTATTCTGTTCCATCTTTGATATGAACGAAATCACAAATACCTGCAATTCATATAAATTAGCTCACAACATGCAGATTCTACCAGGGTTAAAGACCGCAAGAATTCTAGGAACTACAACAAAAGAACATTCTGACCTTTCTTTGAAGAAATCACTGTCGTATATGCAGAAGATAGTCCAAGACCTGAATGTCGTAGAACAACATCAGAAGGGGCTTGCCATTCTACAAGCCGAAATCATTAATTCACAGTAAGAGCTTAACAAAGTCTAAGCTACACTAGAAAAGCTGCAAAAATCTGATCAGGAAGTTGCCCTTGGTGCTAAGATCGAGCAACTTAAAGATAGATGTAAAATTCTGCTGACGAGAGATGAACTGGAAAGTACGTGGCACAGTATGAAATGCTTGAAAGAGGAACGAAATCAGTATCGCATAGAGATAATTAAATGCCGCAGTCTCATATCAAGCTTAAAACAGGACTTATATTGCAAAAGAATGGCTGTTCAATTTGATAAGGAGATTCAGGAACAAGTGAAAAGAAGTGGACAAGACAAAAATGATGATCCAATCAAAATCAACCCCCAAACAACTGGTGTCTTCAATGCTACAGATTGCCTGATTGATAATGTGAACGATTTGTCTTTCTCCGGTACTGATAATGGATTAGTAACCTTGTCGACAAGCGTGCTTTTCACTTCTCAACGCTTCCAATTCTATATTCAACTGTACAATCGTTATCACGTCTTGCAAGAACCTGGCGTTGATATAAAAGAAGAAGAAACAGTTTTCTTGGACATATCACAGTCAAAAACTATCAATGCGAATGAAATTGATATAAATTGTATGCACAGGAAGAATAGAAAGCATCTAGAGTAGTTAAAGAAAAAGCCATCTCAGGAAAAAGATGTTTATACTTTAGAAGCCAAGTTAGAGAAAGTATCCTTCTCCGCTAGCAACAATGTTGAAGAATTTCAGCAGAATTATCGTGTTCATGAGGATTGCTCGAAAAAGCTGAGAAGTTTTAGCAGTTCAAACAGAGCCAACAGGTTATGAAGCTTCGAGATTTAGAAAAAAAAGTACTTGGGCAAGAGAACAGCACAAAAGCGAAAGTTCTTGGCCAAAGCTAACACTGGTGCTGATAAAAAGCAGCTGCTTATGTTCATTGGGGATCGTGGCACTGGTGTCGGATCACGTATCAAAGGGTTTCACAGATACGGAGGTAGGTGAAAGGAGTAGCTGCACGGCAAGCATGTCAATGTGTGCATTACAAATGAACATATGGCATCACAAACATGTATATATTGCTATCAGAAGTCTTGCCATCCAAAAGCTATGTTGACAAAGAATAAACGAGTGTCACAAGAAATCAAGGGCGCATTAATGTGCGTGAATCCAAAATGTGTGGCTGTAAAGTCTGGGAAATCAGCCAAGTCCCAAGATGCGCTGTCTTCGCTGGCAATCGGTTTGCCTGGTTTGATTCGGTGTTTGATAGGCTCTCCTCTTCCACCATCTGCCCAACCTTAAATCAGTCAATTCAACACTGATACCCTCAACAAGCTTTCATGGTCCTTCGTTCCTGCAAGAGGTCACTTGCCGATCACGGTGTGCTCATGCGATAATAAGATTCATTTTTAAGCTTCATTCGATATTCTAATTTGGTCTTTCTTATAGGTTGTTCCTTGTGAAGGGTAATAGTATTTTTAAATTTGTAAAATTATGTGACTTACATTTATTCCTGCATATTTAGGCTTTTCGTCTTTTGCGTGCTACGATTTTCTTTTTCTCGCTTTTTCTTTGCTTTGCTTATTAGTTCAATGTCAAGTTCGTACAATCGAGACCGATCACCTTCAAGAAGAAATGATTCAGATAGATACAGTAGAAGCGACTACAGAAGTAGTAGAGACAGAGACAGTAGATCGAGAAGATCAGATCGGGATGATACAAGACAAAGAGACGATAATCGCCGCGATACCAACGGTGACAATAGGCCACGTCATGAGCAACGTAAAAAGGAAGAACCACAGGAAGAAGATATCAAGATGAATTCACCTGAACCTGTCAAAAAGAAAACGCCCATTTCAATCGAAGAATTGCTAAAGAAAAAAGAGCAGGAACAAAAAGAAACAGAAAAGGTAGTTTTGTGGATTGCATAAAAAAAAAAAGAAAACACTAAACAATATAGTATAGCCTAAATTTTTGACCAAGGAAGAAAGAGCGAAACTTGCTTTGGAAAAGCGTCAAAAAGAAGTTGAAGAGAAACGAAGAAAACAGGAAGAGGAGCGCAGAGCAAGAGAAAACTTTGATCATGCAGCAGAAGATGAGTATAGGAGACTGAGCCAACGTAGACCCGATAATAAAAGACGAGAAGAGGAAAATGACAATGATGCAGATCTTACCGAAAAAGAAAAGCAAGCGATAAGAGTAAAATAAACAAGAAAAATAGGTATGAGTGAATTTAAATAACACATGTTGTTAGGAACGCTATTTTGGTGGTGAACGCAAAAAGAGAAAGATTCGTAGGATGAATGAGAAAAAGTTTGTGTTTGATTGGGATGCAGGAGAAGATACATCCTATGATTTTAACCCCTTATATGCCAATAAGCACAATGCTCAAATGTTTGGTCGCGGTCATATTGCCGGTATTGACGAAAAAGAGCAAAAGAAGCAACAATCTGAATTTTATGAAAGACTATTGAAAGAGCGTAGAACTACTGAAGAAATGGATAGAGCTAGGTTAGTGTCTCTTGCTGACCATTTTTTCTATTGTTCTAATATTCTACTATAGCGAACTTGAGCAAATTTCCCTTAGAAAGGAAGCCAAGGTCAAATGGGACGAACGTCATTGGACTGAAAAGCCTTTGGATCAAATGAGAGAAAGAGACTGGCGTATCTTCAAAGAAGACTTTAATATTACAACAAGAGGTGGTAATATACCTCATCCTATTCGTTCATGGGATGAATCTGGACTTCCAGAGAAGATACAGCAGATCATTAAAGAAATTGGATACAAAGATCCCACTCCTATTCAGAGACAAGCCATTCCTATTGCTATACAAAATCGTGATCTCATCGGTATTGCAGAGACAGGTAAAACAATATTAATAGTGTGATTCATGTATTGAACTGTTGGACTATAGGTTCTGGTAAAACTGCATCCTTTGTTATTCCACTTCTTGTATATATATCCGAATTACCAAAAATGTCAGAGGAAAACATGTCTGATGGTCCTTATGCATTGATTCTGGCACCCACTCGTGAATTAGCACAGCAGATTGAGCAGGAAACATTAAAGTTTGCTACTCCCATGGGATTTAACTGTGTATCCATTATTGGTGGTGTAAGCATAATCAATATTAAGCACATCAGGACAAAGACTAACGGTAATGGATAGCATGATATTGTAGAGCAAGCATTTAGTATGCGTAGTGGTGCAGAAATTGTTATTGCTACGCCAGGCCGTTTAAAAGACTGTTTGGAAAGAAGAATTTTAGTATTGAATCAATGTACCTATGTGGTAATGGATGAAGCTGATCGTATGATCGACATGGGTTTTGAAGGAGATGTCAACTTTATTTTGGACGCATTGCCTGTCTCCAACATGAAGCCTGAGGGCGATGATAACATGCAAGTAGATCTTCCTCAAGGACGCAAGTATAGACAAACTACTATGTTTTCCGCTACTATGCCTGCTGCGGTAGAGCGTTTGGCTAGAAAATACTTGAGAAGAGAAGCTGTGGTCACAATTGGTGTGGTTGGCCAAGCAGTCGAAACTGTAGAACAGCGTGTTGAAATGATTAATGACGATGCCAAAAAGACGTATGTTGTTTGTATCTTTCTTTATTGTAAACTAATCGTTTGTTTCTTTTTGTAGCTCTCGTCTTTTGGAAATTATCAACTCTGGCAAGTTTGCAGCTCCTATTATCGTTTTCCTCAACTCCAAAAAGGGTGTGGATACGGTTGCAAATGTATTGAAAAAGCAAGGACACTTTGCGGTTACTTTGCATGGCGGCAAATCACAGGAACAAAGGTAAAGAAAAGAAAAAGAAAAAGCAATTACTTTAGTATATTAACTCGCAATGCAGAGAACATGCACTAGCTCAGGTTAAGAGTGGTAAAGCAAACGTATTAGTTGCTACCGATGTTGCTGGTCGTGGTATTGATATTAAGAATCTTTCACTTGTTGTCAACTATGACATGGCCAAGAACATTGAAGGTATGAACGTTCCGTTTCTGTATGTGTATTTATTCTAATGTTACTATAGATTACACCCATCGTATCGGTCGTACGGGTCGTGCTGGTAAATCTGGTGTTGCCATTACCTTTTTATCAAGTAGGGACTCTGAAGTTATGTATGATCTTCGTCAGATGCTTGCCAAGTCAAGCATTTCAAGAGTACCTCATGAGTTAGCCATACATCCGGACGCACAAACCAAGCCGGGAACGGTTAAAACAAAGAGAAAGCACGAAGAAACTTTATTCCAATAAAGAGCTATATCAAAAAAAATTGTACAATTCATCTACAGGTGGACTAAATCCCAAGTTTGAATTCTGTAAGCTGCTAAGCATGTCTTCGTCAAACGAGCTATTAATACTATCAAATAAATCAAATTCTTCTAGTAACGGCTCATCCTTATTTTCTTCAAACAGAGGAGCAATTGGTGTATTTTCGTTCAATGGCGTAGTCATTATGTCATTCAAAGGTGTGGTTACTGCCACATCCTGCATAGGTGTCGCTGAGGTATCGTTTTGTTGTGATATATTTGTATTTACTGTGCTTTGACTCTGTTGGCTCTGCTGACTCTGCAGTTCATCCTCCTCTTTAGTATATGGACCATTATTTTTACACCTTTCCAAATGATACGTGAGGCCATTTCGATTCTTGTATTTTTTATTACATGGTTCACAGAGAAAGTATCGTTTACCTAAAAAGATATTAGCTTTTTTGTTTTGATTTTGGTTTTGGTTATTTTTTTTACCATCAGGTGTGATGACCGTAGGAGCGTCCAAGATTGTTCTTTTTCTGGGGGTATTAGGTGTCTTTGCCGGTGTACGTGGTGAGTTTGCCATGGCATATGGTGACTTTACAGGTGTACGGTTAAGCTTCTGTATTGACTTAGGTGTTTTGTTTTTCTTTTTAGATGGTTGCTGTTGTTGCACTTGTTGCTGTGGCCTCGTAGGGGAAACGAGTAGATCATTTCCTGTGATAGATGGTAATGATGGTACGCTGAGATCCTTGGCGAGTGACTGATATACTTGATTGTTCTTTCCTGTTGACAGGTTTCTTCCATTGCCTATGACTGAGAGAACTGATTTTGTTCGTTTGGGTGATAATGATATTCTATACGAGTATCTTAGTTTGTTAGGCAACACTCGATCTTGTGCAAATAGGGTATAGAGTTCGTCGTTTGGGTTCATATTGGTCATCATTTTGAATTTTCCTTGTATGAGACGAACTTTTAAAAGATTGCTAAGCGCAGTAATATTATCGTGACTAAGGTCTCCCAGTGATGGCGAACTTGGCCACAATCCCTTGCAAGTACTGAATAGTTGATGTTGTTCTTCTTGTTGATTATTCGGAGGTGTCTTCGCAGATTGTAGTTTCATACGTTTTAATCGCTCAGCTGTTAATGTACAAGGTGAAGCAGCTTCTATTTCTGGAGATTGTCTTTTTAGATTCTTGTGATTGTCATGTAGTGGCAAGTTTTCTTTATCATTTGGAGTGTGATGTGGATGGTGAATGGCGTAAAAGTCATTTTTTAAGGGGGTTGATGATAATGAGTATCTTTTCTTTTCCATGATATCATTTGATGCATTCATTATATCATTATTTGTCAAGTATGGATCTGATTTGTTTTCAAGTGGTGACAATATGGTTGAAGGTATATTGAAATCGCTATTTTATAAATAAATAAATAAAAAGAGAGAGCAATTTTATATGCTTTTGTATGAATATTTAATCTGATGTTATTTATATATCTTTATATTACTTTGTTGAAGGTGATAGAAAGTCAAACTGTAAATCCATCTGCTTAATGATTGAATCAAAAGGAAAGAAAAGAGAAAAGAAAGAGAAAAGGGAGGTCAAAGGTCATTCCTATTGCTTTAAATAAAACTTTGAGCCAATTAAATTCCGTATCGCGTCATTAGGACACCATGGTGGACATTGTAAAAGCGTGTTTTTTTTTTTTTTTTTTTTTTTTTTTTGTCAGACGGGTCTTTTTTTTTTTTATCTCAGTTCAACTCTGCATTCCTTTTGGACAACTTGACGTACTCTCTCTTGTATTTCATTAATCTCTTCATTTGTTACATTTCTATAATAAAGAGAGTGAATAAGTATTCAACAAGTATAAGGCTTTTACCTGTCCATGGATCTATAATTGATACGATAGCATAAACTGCGTCTTTTAGTCTTGGGATGAACAAAGTCATCAATCTACAAGAAGGTCAATGACTGAATATTGCCATAATAAATAAAACTTACCAAGCACACATTTTCAACAATATCACCAGCAATGCCTCTTACTAACTCACAAAAGTCATTCTCATTCCATTGTCCTTCAGGCAACCAAAATGATATATCTTTTATACATGGTGGATATTTGGAGAATGGCACAAACTTATTAATCTTTCCAGGAGTAAACTGTTCAATGAATCGACTATCCTCTGACCAAAACAATCGAATGTCTGGTATACCAAACAGTACCATGGCCAATCTTTCTAGACCCATACCAAATGCCCACCCTATCTTATCATTCAATCCTGCTTGATTCATGATCTTTTGATTTACAACACCACAACCAAGTACTTCTAACCATTCTCCTTTATACAAGATCTCTACTTCCCAACTGGGGCTTGTGAATGGAAAGTAAGCATCAATCCATCTGACCTTCAAGTCAGGCTCATCAGCAAATAAATTACGTATCATTGAATTGATTGAGTGTTTTAAGTGAGCAGATATCAAATCCACTGATTCCGAACGATGGCATTCCTGAATTGGGTTCTCTGGCTTGATGATTGTATCATCCACTAATTCAATGTTGGGTGTCTCTTTACTCTGAATAAGTGCAAGTTCATTCGTTAGCTTTTTGACATCGTTATCCACATAAAAAAATCCTTCAATCTGATGAAATACAGGATAGTGAGATGAATCAATCTCGTCTCGACGATAGACATCACCACTAATCAAGAATTTACTCTCTCCCGAAGCTAAACCGTCAAGCTGATGTGCTGATGTATGAGCTCGAAGCACGGTATCCTTGTTGAAATAGTAGTTGTCTGACTTGCTTCGACTAGGATGATCCTGAGGGATATACAAATCATCAAAGTTTTGTTTGGTCGTCACAATAGGACTTATATCGTTGAACGTTTTGAAATCTTTAAAGTTGGCTTCAATCAATTGACGAATGATTGAAATAGGATTCTGTGGTTGTAAGTGTAACTTTCTATGAATTTTCGAAAGTACAGTCGGTGTGACATTGGTCCAGTCATCACGAACGAGTCTTTTACCGTCCACGATGGTTTCTTCATTAGTGATTATAAAGTTATCTATTATTCTTTCTTGGTGAGATTATAAGAGAGAGAAAGAAATACATGTATACCTGATGTTGTCTTTGTAGAATGTAGCCCTCTATTATATACAGCGTATGTGCCAGCATAAGTGCTTTTAGAAAGTTGATTGATTTTGCCTATTCGAATTACTGTTCGAAGCATGTTTGACAGGTCAAAAACCATTTAAATTGCCAGGCACCTTATTTTTACCGTCTGCTGAGATTAAATATATGACAATGAGATTTGTTCTTTTACAGCGACTATCTTTACAGGGCTCTTAGGAGATCTGTTTGATAAATTGTTTTTTAGATCTTGTCAAAAGCACTATTAAGAAGCTACTATAGAGACTTCAATCTATTCTGTAAAGAAGATCTACATGCCTCAAGGCTTTTAGAGACTGTGCAACGTAAAATTGCAAATCGTCCACTCTTGCATAAAGCAACCATTGTTAAGAACAGAAAATAGTCATAGTTTATAATAGCAGACTACTTTGCTTCCTATATAGTTTTGGTAAAATGATCTGTTTAGACTATTGAGTACTTTTTAGCCTGTGTGAAATTGCTTTGATTTCCATAAAAGGAAACGCATGTAGATTTGCCCCTTTCCCCTTCTATAAACTGTAAAGGGAATATTGACAGTTGTATTAAATATTACATGTATAGAGATTATCTGACATATTGAGGGTGAAATAGAGTAGCATAGAGTACATATTCAGCCTCACTTAAACTTTATTTTCCTTGACGGTCATTAAAAGAGCAATAAAGGTCAGTTCATTGTTTTTTAAGCCTCTCCCCTTCTTTCCTTGATCAATGAGCATAACTTTTAAAAGAGACGAAGTTAAAAAACATTCTACAAGTGATTCTTGCTGGGTTATTGTCAATAACAAGGTTTACGATGTCACTTCATTCTTGCAAGATCATCCAGGGGGAAGCGAATATATATTGGAATTTGCTGGCAAAGACATCACTTCCATTATGAAGGATAGTGTCTATCATACTCATTCAGACGCAGCTTATGATGTGCTTACGGAATATTATATTGGAGAAGTTGTTAAAGATGACCATGTCCAAGAACGAAATGTCATCAAGCAAGCAGTCAATGCGAATAAAATAGGATCTCAGAGGGATCAGGAGTTTTTAGATCTTCGTAAGCCTTTATTTTCACAGCTATGGAACGCAACCTATTCAAAAGAATATTACCTTGAGCAAGTACATCGACCAAGATACACACCTTATACTGTACCTTATTTTGATAATCCCTATTTGGATATGCTGTCTAAAACAAACTGGTTTATTGTTCCAGTGCTATGGTTACCATTTGTCGCCTTTCAGCTATGGAAATCCCTAAACTGTGCATATAGCTCAGTTCAAGTTACCTCTCAAGGTTTCTCTATCGGCATCTTATTTTGGACTTTGTTAGAGTACGTCTTGCATAGATTTCTATTTCATCTGGATAAACTTTTACCGGATCATCCAATCGCCCTATTGGTTCATTTCACCTTGCATGGTATACACCATCATATGCCTATGGACAGGTATTTTCTAAAAAGTTATAAACAAAACTCTGACTGACACGCTTATCCTAGGCTACGCTTAGTGATGCCTCCTATATTGACAATAATCCTGAGTATACCTGTCTTTCAGCTTGCTCATGGACTATTTCATCCTCCTCTTGCATACTCATTTGTGGCAGGTGCCTTCTTTGGCTATGTCTGTTACGACATGATCCATTATTACCTTCATCATGCCAAAGTACTCAAGATTTACTTTAGAGAACTTAAAAGGTATCATATTGCCCACCACTACAAGAATTTTGATAGTGGATTTGGAATTACTTCTAAACTATGGGATTATGTCTTTGGTACTGTTTTATACCTGGATGAAAGCAAATAACACTGCTTCTTTCTTTCTCTCGATTCTTACAATAAATGTATTATATCCGCTCACACTACAGAAAGACAATATAATGCGCCTGATCTATATTTGGTGTCATCAATCATGTTATCCACGATTGAGTAATATTTCTCTTTCAAAAAAAAGAAACACTCATTAGATGTTATTGTAGTCAGCTGTTGAATGATGATTTCTAAGATGGATTTGCTCATGATACACATATACCTTTTGTCAAAACGATGTTGCAAGAAAAAAAAATCATTCAAGGTCAAAGGTATTCTCTCTAGAATTACCTGAGGCCGTCGAATAAATACAAAGAAAAATAACATATATGCTTCTTCAGAGATAGATTTAGTCGAAACTAGACTCAGCATCATGAAATACGTTGTCATCGGCAGGAACTGGTAGAACTGAGCTGGTGAAGTCTACGAGGGACAGCTGCTCACGGCGATAGTGTTGCTCAAAAACGGCTGAGAAGGACCAATTACCCAGAGTGATTATGTCGTTGATATCTACATCAGCATGGAGCGCAGCTGAGGAGGATAAAGACCGTAAATTAATACGTGGTTCATCGGAAGAAAATCGCAGCAAGCGGCGTAACCAGGTATTGATGGTGATGGTCACCATCTGCGTCGTGTCGTTGGTGTTAACAAAGAAAGAAGAGACCCTGGGAGGAGGTACCAAAAGGTACAGACGATACTGTAAGGACTTGAACGTGGCCACGGGACATAACTCACGGACGTAATGACTGTACACCTGAAAAGGCTTGACGATGCGCTGGCCTCCATGTTTTTCTTTTGGTGCAATAACTTGAAGGAAGAGAAAATGTCGACCGGAGTCCGTTTTGATAGCAGCAGTAGAAAAGTCAGTCCTGTGGAACTCAGAAGGATGTAAAAAGGCAGTCATACCAAGGAGAAAAGAGAGCTTCTTTTGGAGGTGAACAATAGGAGTGGAAGGGCTGTCTATGTCAATTCGGCGTAGTTCCAGGAGGGTCGACCGAAGGTTGATAGCCGGTCGATGAATTTGTTTGGGTGGTGCCTGAGTTTTGAGCGACTTGATAAGAGCATTCACCATTTCGCTTGCTAGTAGAGATGCCGGATTCTAATGGAGGTACGTTACAGAAGAGCGGAAGAGGCAAATGGTGAAGTGATGGTAGCCTCGAGCTTCAAACATTTCTTCTAAGAAATTAGTGAGGTGTGTTTCGGTAAAGGTTGTGAGAGGGACATTATGTGAAATGGCCCATTCGGCAAAAAGCATATATATTATTCTCTCTTGTGTTTGTCCTCTGGTCTAAATAGTAAAAGAAATAGCAGTTGACTCATTCTACCATTACAGCTCTATTTCTTTTTTGAATTCTGCTGCTTCTACTATTATATGCTGCTTTTAATGACTTCCAGTTATTGTAATTCATGAAAAAACTATTTTCTCTTCCTTGCTTATAACAATTATTCCAACTCATCCTACCAGTTAATTTTGACATAAAGTTTTCCACAAGTTTCATTATCCATGCATACAATTCTAGTTTGGTAGCTTGGTATTGAAAGATCGCTGACATCAAGTGTATCTTCAATGAGAGTGATTTCCCTGCGCTGGTTACTAAATTTTCTTTCCTGCGAATTGAAAAAGTGTTCACAATCCAAGGCATACTGAAGAAGTTTGTCCATTGAATCACTATTTTTTGTGGGGAAACACTACATGCATCAGAAAATACACCAAAAGATAGACTAATTCTACGGGCGCTGCCTCTACCCATTACCTATGATGTCTTTCAACAAAACATTTGAATGTGCGGTGCCACGCTAAGCATGACTTTATAAAGTTACCGACCTGTTTTGTTTCTTTTCAAGAAATAGAAAAAAAAGAAATCAAAAAAGACCACTTATGATAAATTCGTACTTACACTATTTAGCCTATTTTCTGGTGCATGTAGACTTCGTGGGTGAGCTGTCAACTACTCAGAACGGCAACAGGTGGTTGCTTACGGCTGTTGATTACATGACAAACTGGTCAATTGCTTGTGCTGTACCGGAGGCTACTGCAGAGGCGGTTGCAGACTTTTTGTATGAAGAAATCGTAATGCGATTTGACTATCCTAACGAGTTTTATACCGACCGCGGTGCGAGCTTCTTATCCAAGTTAGTGGCTAACTACAGCAAACCGATCAATATTACTCACAAGATGACGCCTGCTTTTCATCCTCTTTGCTGCAAGAATTCGAAAACACAGGTCTGCTGGCTTTTCTCCCCTCTATCTGATGTATTGTTGTGAACCTCGTCTGCCTGGGGATGAGTTGCGCCCTTATTTAGCGACAAGACTTGCTCAAGATCCTCGCACAATTGCAGAGTTTACCGCTCGTGAGCGGGAATTGCTAGGTCAAGTACGTGCTGCTGCTCAAAAACGTATGGAAGCTGTTTTCAAAGGTGACAAGCGCAAGTGGAATGCGGTAATCAAGAAACTGAATTTCGAAGTGGGTGACCATGTCTGGACTGGAGTACAGCTGGATGGGCCCTTTCACAGTGGCTGCCAAGAATGATGTCACTAACATCTATAAACTTGTTTCCGTTGGTGGTGAACCCTACCTATCTTATGTACACATCGATCGTTTAAAAGAAGTTAAGGTTGAATATATTAATACCCTTTGGTACAATCCCACTGTATCTCATGCTGTTTGTCGCGCTGGTGTAGGCCATTCTGCTCCAACTACTGATTCTTTGGCTACCTCTGATACATCTTTGTCGGCTCCTACTGTCCGTGTGACCCCTTCTGCTGGTTCTGCTCGTGTTGATTAGAGGCGATCAGCAATCTTAGAAGGGAGTGATGTCGTGCCTAAAAAGCGCAATTTCCTCCGACAGTTCCGGCCTGAGCCAAGCAGCACGGCCTGCACTTGAAAACCTTGACCCTGAAGACCCTGAAGCCCAAGAATCGTTTGAGATCTCACTCCTTCCCTTTTGGGATGAACGCCGTTCGTGGAACCAAGTTCTTGGTGCAACTCTCAAAGCCCTCTCTGGTAGAATCCCGCTTGTAGGTAGTGGCTCTATATCTTCTTTTTAAAGAACACTGCCGAATCCTTAAAACATATAAAAACGCTCATGTCTTTTATTAAATACAGCCTTTTCAGAGAATAAAGTCGCATTTTTGCAATTTTTATAATACTATTTATACAAAAAAGCGACAAGACAACGCGACATCTCTTTCTGGGAATGGTATAAAAGTTATCAATTTATATTCTTATTTTCTGTTGTACTATTGGTTGGCTTTATCGTTTACTACGGCAATTCAACCGCAAGATTTTCTTACTTCTATAGACCTTCAAGACGTCTTTCGCAATATTCTCATTCATCAAGCATCCAGAAAATACCTGCAATTCCAGTGGGAGAATCGGATTTTTCGCTTCAAGACACTTCCATTCGGCCTTGCGCTCAGTCCCCTGGTGATTACAAAGATGCTTCGCCCTCTTCTTCGTTGGGCTCGCAGAAAAGGGATTCGTATTTCAGCGTACCTGGACGACCTCATTGTAATCATCAAGACCAAAGGCCGTACAGTACAACACACACAACTACTCTCCAAATTGAGAGAACTGGAGTTTCTAATCAAAGAATCGAAATCTCGCCTTATTCCTACGCAGATACTCGATCGCCTGGGCTTCGCCGTTAACACAAAGAATATGACGCTGTCGGTACCTACTTCCAAGTGCAGATGCACACGCAGCGAAGCGCAGCGTCTTCTAAATCGGGGGACTTGCGCAGTCAAGACTCTGGCAGCCTTTATCGGCAAAGCTCAAGCAGTAACACCCGCCGTTTTTCCTGCAATACTCAAGGCTCGCAACTTACTGGCTCTGAAGGACCAATTACTACATCAAGAGAAGCCATGATCATCAACAGTCACTCTGACTCCTCCTGCGTGCCTGGATCCGGAATGGTGGGTCAGTCATCTACAACGCTGGGATGGTGATGTGTTTGATGAGATAATCATTATAATAACTCGAGTATAATCTTACAGTAGAGCATACATTCTATTTTACATTCCTCTATCGCATCTGATAAGAGTAACTTATAATAATAGCTATAGTAACTACTAAATTTCACTTGTCGCGTTTCTAAATTTAGCCTACCGTGTTTTGGATTTTTACTTGTCGCATTTGGGAAATTTACTCGTCGCATCTGGAAATTTTGCTTGGCGCAGTTGACATCTTGCAACAAGTACTACCAAACTCTACAGCAATATCAATCGCAAACTTCCTATTTGCTAATATTTATACCAAACCAAGAGACTTCTTAACACAATTGGCCTCGTTATCAAGCTCCATTTGATATTTATTGCATTTTATCATATACTGTCCCATCAAATACTCAATCTGGGTAGAAGTTCTGTCTTATTATTATCTCTGCATATACTTTGAATCGGAACATCTCTACCTTTCCTTACTATTACAAAATTTTCCTCCTCTTCGGGATGGTAATCTGTCTCGATTTCTTACCATTCTATACACGACACACTGGCAAATTTTGTTGGCCTATTGGAGATTATATTTTGGCAACACTCTTTTTACTCCATCCAAAATCACATCAGCAGCGATCTCAGTAACTTCAAGCACATTGAGTCGCCCCTCTGACCTGGAAGATTAAGTGATCATTTCCTCTCCGTGTTGTATTTGTGTCTTTAAATAGGCATGTCATCCCTCAAGTTTCCGTTCTCTTAATTCATGAATGCATAACTCTACAATACAATACCTTAATATGTGACCATTTTGATTTTTAAAATAAAACAAAAAAAAAAAGACATCCTTTGTACATCTTTATTATTTATTTTTGTAAATGGTAGATCTAAATGAAAAGATCAAGCTCCCCAGCAAACCTCATTTCGAGTACTTCAACAGCAATCCACCTCGCTTATGGGACTTTGAATCCTTCAAAAAATACAAAACAGCGCAAGCAGTTCATCTACCGCGCAATAAAAAAATCAGAGCAAATTATGAAGAGGCAATCCAGAATATCGTGAATCTTTCTTATATCAGTAGCGAAATGAAAGACTATTTGGACGCATTATTAAACCCAGAAGTAATACTAAATGAATATTATAAGCTAACATGGAGTATTAATTTACTTTCCTTTATGCAGAGCGATAAAAAAAATAAAGAAAATAATGCAGTGGTGAACCAATATATCAACTATAAGAATGTTGTACTGCGAGGATCCACTAATGACAATATCAACGTGCATATTCACACGATCAAAAGAAGAAGACATAGTAAGTTAAATATAAAAATTATCTGCAATTAAGCATTAATTGAACTATATTATTCCGTATATAGATGATGAGGAAGAGGATCACAGTGGTGGCGATAACGGTCCAGACGATGATGACTATATTGGTGTGGATTCTCCTCAGCCAGGTTCTCCCTCACGCGCGGCGGAGGTTGAAGTGGAAGAACATGATTCGTTCCTTACGGACGAGACAGACCACACGTACCAAACTGAAGTTTCTAATTATTATGCTGAAGTATTGACAACCAGAAAATACATTATGACAATGAAGGAGGTCAACATGAATGAATCAAATACACAAGAAGAGTATACTTATGATTGTAGTAGCTCCTTGTCTGAGAGATTGTAAATTTTCATGAATGCGTTAACTGACTATATTTATTCACTTTTTTAAACAGGGCGATTTCTGCGATTAATGAAAATATCATTTTACCTGAAATATATGAATTTACACCCACCCCATTGGATGATCAGGAATATAGTAGAATAAAGGAGTGGCGTATGGTACAGTAAAACCAGGGATTCTTAAATATTATATATCTTCGCTAATCTTAGGTGTTTATTGATTTAGGAAGTAAAAAAGAGCCGGTTATACTATCCACCCGTTGCATCTACACCCGGTCAGCTGCACCTTAACACCTTTCTTTGTAATATGACAGACAGGATCATAAATGAAAAACAGAGTCCACACAAAAAGAGTGAAATTGGGTTCACAATAGATAACGTATCACCTTTATTCAAATATCTCTTCCCTGCGAATGGTGTATTATCTTGTAGATGGTCAGTAAGCATTTTTGAACATTAACAAACTACGTGAGAGGATAAAGTTGACGAAATTATATTTAATACTATTAAAGGGAAAAATCCTCAATGCTACCTACCAGCACAGCCTCGAAAGGGGTCCGAACGGATTTCATCTTACTTGCAAACGACCAAGAAGTTGGTTGTGGGGAGATCAAGCCTCCCGGTACCACCCCCCAGTTGGTCAATGAGGATCGGGTCCGAACAGCAGAAACACTTAAAAGACAACTGCATGGCCGAATCATGAAGAGCAAAGACCAAAAGGAATTTGTGACTTTTGGTATGGTATTCAACGGATTCGATATTGAGTTATATCTTATGGCATTCGACGTTGAAGGCACCCCACCTTATCAGCTTTATAAAATTGACATCTTAAAACTCCCCAGCTCGCCTGCATCATATACCAGTATCGAAGAAACTATTGAAAATCTATTAAGTTTCAAGGTAAAGTGCTCAATTTATATAGGGTAAGAAATGTACGGCTAATTATAATTATTTTAACACATCGTCGCTAGCCTTTAATTATGTCAAGCTTAGCTGAAGAAGCAGACATTTTAAAGCCCTATATCTATTATGATTATATCCACTTGTTTCAACCAACCCTCGCATTCGTAAATGAATGAGAATATTGCAGGCCTTTTCAATATACGTGACCATCCAATGTATCATCTTCTATAGCAAACTTCAAAGTTTTTTAAGAGAAATAAACGATATTCCAACCTTCAACGTAAAATTGTACAAACCTTTTTACTCCATGAATACTATATTAATATAATATGTAAATTTGCAACCTTCTATATATAGCATCAACATCATACATAACCTTCAATAAAATTATTTTAATAAAAGAAATACATTTATATATTCAAACCCTATTTTAAACAAGTAAATGCTTTACTACTTCTCAATAATTTGAGGCGGGCTTCTTGTTTCAATATGCTCGAAAGAAATGATTATTTAGAGTGAATACAAGACATTATGAGAGAATTGTAGCATGATTCTCTTATAGGATTGTGTACCTCTTCAGTCGTAAACAGCGTTCTTCGAAGTGTATCAATATTAATAAAAGATAGATGTGCATAATGTAATCTAGGATCAGATGATATTTGATCGGTATGTAGAGCAAATTTTTTTAGCTGTAGAAGCTGGTTGTATAAATGGTCAGACAAATCGTTCATAACTCGACATTCAAGTAACTCTAAACGCTTCATACCAGAAATGACGAGCCCATTTTCTTCTACTTTCAAGTAAATGTCAACATTGGCTATAGTAAACGATATCAATGAAGTAGGTAGCTCTTTTACTGTTTTATAAGAGGATAAAACTATGACGTGTATGAAAAAAATAATTGGCGCATATTAAAAAAAGTATTTACGCAAAGGTTAAAAATAAAATACGTGC